AATGGGAATTGCAACAATTTTCTTTTTGCTCACAAGAGATCATCTATTATGGAAAAAAATAAAAATTCTTAGAGTTTAGTAATTAAAGAATTTTAAGAATATGCCCAAAAATAAAATTCTGTAAAAATATTCTCATTGGTAGAAATCATTACCTAAATTCAGGATTTTGGGGGAGAGGGTTTATGTTTCCTTTAGACCTAAAACTATTAATGGTAGGCATCTGCCATCTACCTGTGTGAAGCTACATTGAAGACAGTCAATAAGGAGCTCGTGCTTTCATCTGAAAACTATGCCTGAACAAGGTCAGAGTACATGATAAAGTGAGAGTCATAAGATGTGGAGGTGAAGGATTCAGGTCCTGAAGCCAATCTACCCGACTTTCAACACTCATCAAGCCTGAACTTATTCCTTAAGGGATTTGGACACATCGTTATTCCAAACCCTTTGTGCTTCTGTTTCCTGATTTTTAATATGGAGATGATTATACCTACATCCGAGGGCTGTAGTGAGCAGACTTTTTTGAGCCTAAAATGCATCCTCAGAATGATTTCTTTGCTATGTGGTCTTCCACTCTGTTGTTTTTAATTCATACACATAATTTACTTATAGAAGCCTCCAGAAAGAAGATGTGGGGATTGAGGACAATTAACAAATTTGCAGTCTCATCTCACTCATAAGAAAGAATAATGTTATACTTTATTTTCATGAAAATTAAATAGGTACCTTCTGTGTGCCCGGCACTGTTTTAGGCACTGGGAAAACAGCAAACACCTTAGCTTTTATGGAATGTAAATAGTTAAGGGAGTGTATAAATTAGATGTGTGGTGGCAAAAGGCTTCTTAATGGAACCCTGCAAGTATACGGACTGACTCATGCCCAGGGAGATCACCACAGACTTCTTGACTGAAGGTGTTTTCTCCTGATGGAGTACAAATGTGCTCTGAGGGTAGGTGGGCTGTCAGAGAAAAGAGACAGAGGGCTGGCTGGGTGTACATGCTCATAATTTACTTATAGAAGCCTCCTTATTGGTGAATAAGAGATGGGATAACAGGCCCAAGTATTAGGGGAAAAAAATCTATCTTCTCATGGAAACCAAAGAAGTGAGGAAGAAGCATTTTTGTACAAACTACTTCATTCCCCAGCTTTGCTCCAGATTTCTCTCTCTTTTTTTTTAAAAGATTTATTTATTTATACAAGAACTGGGGTATAGGTCAGATGTGCAGGAGGGTGAGAGGATTCACCAAAGACAGAGCGGGGAACAGAACAGACAGACTGAAATATACTGCTGAGGAGAGCAATGGGCAAGACAGGAGAGGTCTGCCGCGCCATGTGGGTATCTCTGCGGCCAGCGGGGATCAGACTAGTATTGTAGAGACTGTGGACAGCTTCACAGCACTGCGATCAACCACCTGTGCCACCAGGGAGGCCCTGCCCCAGGTTTCTATTAGTGTGATATATCCCCCGCTCTTACATTTTCTGCCTCATCTCCTCGTAATTATTCTTTCAACCCTTTAGAGCTGCTGTCTCCTTCCCTTGCAGTGCTGAATTATCTCAGAACTACTTCTACACATGCTTCTTAGAATATTCTTTTTTTTATAATAAATTTTATTTTTATAATCCCCATACAATTGCAACCCCCTTATTTTGACCCCAATCCCTCCCCTCCTACCCTCTACCCCCCACAGAGTGTCTCTGGTTCATAGTTTTTTGTTGATTTTGATTTTCACTTTCTTATAGTTATTCTTTTTCCTAGTCCCTTATTTAAGTTTTCTAGATTCCTGCTATGAGTGAGACCATCCGGTATTTTTCTTTTTCTTTCTGGCTTATTTCGCTGAGCATGATCCCTTCCAGCGCCATCCATGTTGCTGCAAAATGCATGTGTTTATCTTTTTTGAATGCTGAGTAATATTCCATGGTATATATGTACCACATCTTCTTGATCCAGTCATCCATTTTTGGGCATTTGGGTTGTTTCCAAAGCTTAGCTATTGTAAATAGTGCTGCTATAAACATAGGGGTGCAGGTTTTCTTTGGAATTGATGTTTCTGTGTCCTTTGGGTAAATACCTAGGAGTGGCATTGCTGGATCATATGGAAGCTCTATGTTTAGTAGGTCCAGGAATCTCCACACAGCTCTCCATAGTGGTTGGACCATTTTGCACTCCCACCAGCAGTGCAGGAGAGTTCCTTTTTCTCCACACCCTCGCCAACATTTGTTGTTGCTAGTTTTTTTAATATGTGCCATTCTCACTGGTGTGAGATGGTATCTCATGGTAGTTTTGATTTGCATTTCCCTGATGACAAGTGATGCTGAACATTTTTTCATATGCCTGTTGGCCATTTGCATTTCTTCTTCAGAGAAGTTTCTTTTTAGCTCTTCTGACCATTTTCTGACTGGATTATTTTCTTTGTTGTTGTTGAGACTCATCAGCTCTTTGCAGATTTTTGTGATCAGTCCTTTATCATTAGTGTTGTGTGCAAAAATGTTCTCCCAGTTGGTGGGGTTTCTCATTGTTTTTGTTATTGTCTCTTTTGCTGTGCAGAAGCTCTTTAATTTGATGTAGTCCCAGCTGTTTATCTTTGCCTTCACAATCACTGCTTTGGGTGATGTGTCTGTAAAGATGTCTTTGATGTGCATATCACGTAGTGTTTCACCTATATTTCCTTGTATGTATTTTATGGTTTCAGGTCTTATATCTAGTTCTTTAATCCATTTTGAGTTGATTTTTGTGTATGGTGTGAGGTAGTGGTCAAGCTTGCTTCTTAGAATATTCTTAACCCGTGCTGCACTTGATAAAATCCTAATAATTTTCAGTTCTGCATTTAAGACTCATCTTCTCTAACAACCCTTGGGGGGGGGGGTTGACTGTTCCTTCTGTCACAACCTTGCTCCTACCCTTCCTGTTTCTAGGTGGGAGAACCCGTCACAGTACTTTTCTCTATCAGTTGTCCTTAGTGAACAATGGCATTTCTTCTTTTTTTCAAAGCTAATGAATGTTTTCATTTTTTTAATAACTTTTTTAATTGCAGTAACACTGGTTTACAGCACTGTACATGATTTAGGGGAATATTCACCACTCTTCAGGTGTATGTCACCACACTCTCCTCTCTCCTCTTTGTTTGCATTCCGACCCTCCCTTTTCCTCTAGCAGCTTTAATTCTACCAATCGTTTTTAGAGTTGGTTTTGATTTTGTCAGTTCCTTTGTTGTTTTTCCCTCTGTATTCCACATGAGTGAAATTGTCTTTGATTTGTCTTTGTCCTTCTGACTTATTTTATTTAGCATAATCTCCTCCAGTTGCATGCACGTTGATGCAAATGGCAAGAGTTCATTTTTTATATAGTTGAGTAGCTTTCCATTGTGTATGTATAATCATATCTTAATCAGCTGTTCTGTTGGTGAACATTTATGTTGTTTCCATAACTGAGCTATTATAAATAGTTCTGCAGTGAACAAGGAGTGCACATGTCCCTTTGATTTAGTGATTTTGTATTTTTTGGGTAAATACCTAGGAGTGGACTTGCTGGGTCATATGGTAGATCTAGTTTTAGTATTTTGCCGGACTGCCATACTGATCTCTATGGGGAGTGGACTGGTCTACATTTCTACCAAGACTCTATGAGGTTTCCTTTTATCTCTGCATCTTCACCAACATTTGTTGTTTCTATTTTTTTTTAATATGGGCCATTCTTCATTGGAGTGAGGTGGTATTACATCATGCTTTTGGTTTTTATTTCTCCAACAATACGTGATGTTGAACATAATTTAATGGGTCTATTGGCCATCAGTATGTCTTCTTTGGAGAAGTGTCTGTTTAGCCCTTCTGCCCATTTTTTGATTGAGATCTTTGTTTTCTTTCTGTTGAGTTTCAAGAGATCTTTGGATAATAACCCCTTGATAGATGTACAATGTGGAGAAATTTTCTCCCTCTCTGTCTGGTGTCTTTTTGTTTAATGATAGTTCATTTTGCTGAACATAAACTTTCAAACTTAATGTAGTTCCATTCATTTATTTTTGCTTTTATTTTCCTTGCTATCGGAGTTGAGTCCCCAAAGACAGACATTCCTGAAGCCAATGTTGTAGAATGCTTTACTAATGTTTTTCTATGTAATTTATGTTTTCCAGCCTTATATCTAACTCTTTAATCCATTTTGATTAAAACCCATTTTGATCAATTTTTAATCCATTTTAATTTTTGTGTATGGTGTAAGAGAATGGTTTAGTTTCAATTTTCATCACATGGCTGTCCTGTTTTCTCAGCACCATTTGTTGAAGAGATATTCCCCTTGGTATACTCTTTGTCCAATTGTCAGAGATTAACTCTCCATGTTAATGATGGTATGTTATAGTCTTTCAATTCTAGTTCACTGGCGTGTGTGTCTATTTTTATTCCAATGCCATATGGTTTTGATTACTATAACCTTGTAGTATAGTTTAAACTCTGGGAGCATAATCTGGTGACATTTCTTTAAGGTGGCAACTATTATTTTTGTATAATTTTTCACAGTCAGTATTGCTAGGTATATAGTATTCTCTCTACAAATACACATTTGTCCTTTAAAAAAATCAAGTCCGTCATTGAAAACATTCAGATGCTACAATTCAGCAAAATGTGAAAGGAGAGAATAGAATTTGAAGTTTTGTTTTTTTGTGCTTCATAAAAAATATTTTAGAATGTTATTTGGTTTAAATTTAAATTGGTTTAAATTTGTAGATTATATAGGAATTTTAGTGATTCGTTTTAAGGTGTTAGAAAATTTAAACTATTCCTTTTTCTTCTATCTCAATGGTGCATTGCTTATGTATCTTAATTTTAGCTGTGAGATACTATTGCTACAACTGTAATCAGCTGTCCAACTTTTTAAAGTTACATATTTGCTATTTACTATTGAATAGCCTTTTCAGTAGCCCTGCTAGCAGCATTTTCTTTGACATTTTTTGTAATATGTAAGAAAAGAAGCTGCAAGTGAACACTAATAATGAATTTCAATTTTATTTTAGCAAAAGCACCTGGAAATTGAAAGAACTAACAAGTGGTTGAAAATGCTAAAAGGATGGGAAAAATACAAGAACACTGAAAAGGTAATTAAACACAATGTTTCTTATATATAAAACTATACAAATAATTCAAGGTGGATGTTCCCATTTACAAGTTTTCCTTTTATTATTTTTTTTTAAGATTTATTTATTTATGCATATAAGACTGAGATGTTGCGGGGGGTGAGAGAATTCACCAGAGACAGAGTGGGGAACAGGCAGACTGACTGAAATACACTGCTGAGGGAAGCAGTGAGGAAGTCAGGAGAGGTCTGCTTCGCCATGTGGGTTGCTCCCTGGCTGGCCAGGGATCGAACTCGGGCTGCAGAGGCTGCAGATTGCTTCATAGTGTGGTGGTGCTTAATCCCTTGTACCACCAGGAAGACCCTGCAAGTTTTTCTTTAATTACAAGTATTCATTTAAAAAAAAATTAGTTTATTTTAATTTAGTGGAATGCCTCAAATTTGGAGTCTTTATATTATAATAGGATACACAATTCAAGCTGATTTCAACAATTAAGAGAATGTATTAGATAGTTCAGAGGTAAGATAGGTTTCAGGAGTGAGGTAATTCTTTCTGCTCAGTTATATTTTTTGTGACTAGTAGTTTCTTTGATCTTGCTTCTCTACCTTCTGCAATGTCAGCTTTACACTGGTACTGGCTTCCTTTTGAGATCACAATCATTGCAGTAGTTCCAGGCTCCTTATCCATGTGTCCTGCTGCTCAGGAGAGGGCTGGCCCTGAAAGCTTTCCCTGAAGCAGGAGCAGTCTCCTTTTCTAAAAAGTTATAGCAAACTTTCCTTTAAATCTTTTAGCTCTGCATGAGTTTACTAAGCCATATTAAGCCATATATAAAATGGCTTAATAAACTCGTGTGTGTGTGTTTGTATAGGACTATAAAAGTGTGTGTGTGTATGTACACACATCACAACTATTAATATCACCACCAGTCTCATCAGGAAAATCTTTAAATATTGGGAAGCTGTGAAGTTCATGGGGGTGGAAGTTTCTTGAAATTGTAATTTTTGCTTGAAAGGTTAAATATTAACACTAGCAGCAAATACTGTCAATTTCCTTAAAGTGACAGATCTATTATTACTTAATTATTTGTGAAAATACCTGGTAAATACCCACATATGAACAACTGAAGTTCTTTAGTCATCCTTTTAAGTAATAAGTAATATTTCACAAAAATAGTGATTTGTTCAGATCCTGACTTAAACAATTTCATAAGTGCATTTTCTTAGGGCCAACATTATACTTCATTGTGCAGCAAAAGTTCTCCACGTGGTTATACTACTTTATCACTTAGGAAATGAAGACATGTATTCAAGAATTGAGACAGTAAAAATTAGTCATTTTTACTCCTTTGTCGAGGGCTTTTTAAAGTGAAACTGACTTTTAAAAAGTAAACTGGGTGGAGAATACAGAAACAAACACAGTGACTACTGCTAATTGGTGCAAAGGTACCATTGCTTTTCTACTATTAGTCAACAGTGAAAATGGCAAATAGTATTTTAGTATTATGAAAATAGTTTGGACCTCATCTAAACCTCAGTTTCCTCACCTGCAATATACAAATAATACCCATTTCAAAAGGATGACGAGGCGATGATGCATTCAGTAAATATTAACTACCACTTTAAGTTTTTTGAAGGAAGGTTGGACAATAAAATATTCTCTTTTTAAAAATTTTTTTTTATTTTATACAAGCACTGGGTACAGTCAGAAGCGTGGGAGGGTGAGAGAATCCACCAGAGCCAGAGCGGGGAGCAGAAGAGGCAGACTGACGAAACACTGCTGAGGGGAGCAGCGGGCGCGGCTGGAGAGGTCCATCGCTCCACGTGGGACCCTCGCAGGTGGCTGGGGATCGAACTGGTGCTGCAGAAGCTGCGGGCAGCCTCACAGCCCAGCGCTCAACCGCTGTGCCACCGGGGAGACCCTGGACAATAAAATATTCTTAAAGGAAGAAATCTTTTAGAAGGGGCCTCCCTGGTGGGCTCGGCGTTAAGTCTCAGTGCTATCACTGCTAGGGCCTGAGTTTGATCCTCAGCCAGGATGCTCACCCACACATGGTGCAGCAGACCTCACCTCTTTTGCCTGCTTCTTCCCTTAGCAATGTATTTTAGTAGATCTGCCTGTTCTGCTCCCCACTCTGTCTCTGGTGAATCCTCTCATCTTCCCCTATTCCCCACACCTCTGATCTATACCCCAGTTCTTCTACACCAAAAGAAAAAAAAAAACCCCTGATTAAAAAAATAAGAAATCTTTTTATAGTCCTATAGTCCTATGATTGATTAAAGTTGAGAAAGTCAGAGCTAAACAAAGTTAAGTTTCTTTATTACAAGATTCCTTAAAATCTGATATAATGTGTGGTGGGAATTTTTAAGAGGAACCTTAACTTGCATGAAACTTATATAACTGTGGAAATCTTTTTGTCAAGGGCTATCTCACCAATGGCACTTTTCTTTTTGACCATCCTGAATATCCTCAGTTTAAATCTGTTAGATCATTACTATTTTATTTTCATCAGGAGTGAGTTCAGTTTTGGATTCATTAATGTATATTTTATCATTAGGTTGGAACTCAAGATGTCTTTTAAGAGGAATCAGTTTAAAGTAGAATATTAGATCCAACACCTGTGCTCTTACTTAATATTATGCTGCCTCTCAGATTGGCCTAAAGTTGGCAACAATTTTATCTTATGTCTTTTTGGAAGGATTGCTGAAGTAGTAATTACAGAATAAATTTTGATGCATTGCACCTGCACTCAGTCTCACATTCAGTCTAATAAAATATTTGTAGAATTACATGTTCCTCTATGGTATACATATATTTATAAAAGCGTGGAAGCCTTTATAAGAATGAGCAGTTCTGCTAGGCTATTATTCTGACAGCAACTCTGGCTAATGTAGTTCCCATTAAGAGAGATTTTAGCAGAACGATTTCCTTGATGTATAATTTTAAAGCACTTTCCCAAAACTATAATGCTAGGATCATTTGATGATGTATATGGTCCAATTTGGTATGAAACAGAATGCACCTTCTGAAAGAATTGCTATCAATTCATACCTCGTTTTAAATTACATGGAAGCAAAAATAGTACCATGTATTTTTCTTCTCTTACAAGAGTAGGTATAACTTTTTTCTCCACAGTCTTCACTTACATAGTAGAAATACAAATAAATTTCTAAAAATATCTTGAAATAAAAATATAGATGTGATAGAAAATATTTGGAATTTTAGGAACTTTAATGAATCTAAGTTTCCCTGAAGATTGTTGCCTATGTGCCCCTCCCCTTTTAAGTACAGTAGTATTTTAAGTACAGTAGTACTGTGCTTAAAAAAAAAATCTTAAAAGAAGAAATGAAGTCACCTCTGCTGAGTTAAGACCATTGAGATTTAACTAGTCATGATGTGATTATATCTAAACTACATCAAAGCAGAATACTTACAGCAGATATTTTTCTTTTTGTATGTGTGTGTGTCGAATAACTGAATGGACTTTTGTTGGCCAAATAACAGTTCTTTTAGCTATATGGATTCATATAGGAAAACATTTTTTCCCCCCAGACAGGAAATAGAGTCAGTGTTTAGAAATGAATTTGTCAAGTCCACCTGTCTTGTTTAGTGACAAGCAAGAGATTCTGTGTCCACCTTCTACATATAGCTGGTTTGTTGTACCATCTTTTATGTTAGCTTTCCTTCTGGTGGTTGTCAATAAAAGGTCAGTAGGAAATAGAATGCAGGTTATAAGAGGCATTAGCGCCTTGTGGATGGTTTAAAACCTTTATAGTCTAGACTTGGGGGACTCATACCTATTGGAAATGGAGACAAAGGAACTAATGGATTGGGGATGATGAAAGGAAAGGGAGAGGCAATAAAAAGCGGAAGTAACTCAGCAAGTGAACTTTGCTTCTAGTGCATACCTGCAGTTTTCAAAGTCTCACCAAATTGAGCCAGACTTTCTGGGAAAAGTTTACTACCAACCGCGATAATGTGGTCTGGCATATTATCACTGTTTTAAATTCACTAATGTTAGAAATATTGAAAACATTAGGTCACTTGATGTATTTTTTTTTTTGAGTTGATGGTTTTTTAGATGTATCATATTGAAATAGGCTGACTTTATTGGCAAATAAACTAAAATATTAAAAGCAAAAGGAAGATTTTGTTTAAAAGTTTAACTATTTGTTTAAAGATTTTATATATCAAATCCATAAAATACATTTGTAACAGAATTTTAAAGGTTGTATTTCTCAAAATGGGATATTAAAATTCAACATGTAGAAATTTTATGGCTACTAAGACTATGATCTTTGAAGTCAAACTAACTGAATTTCAATTCATTTAAAACTAACTAAACTTCATTAATGGTAGGCCTTTGACCTAATTACTTAACCTTTCTTTCTTAATTTTCTCATGTGTAGCATAGGAATGACAATAATAGTACCTGCCTCTTTAGGACTATAATAATATAAGGAATAAATTGCTTTGAAAACATGTCTGCTGGCTCCCAATAAATACTGAACTGTAGGTAGGTGTATCTGTGGTTATTAACATTATTACTACTATTTAAGTCCTCATTATCCTCACCTTTATCCATACCCTATTTTTTCTTCCTGGAAAATTCATTTTTGAGTTCATTGTCATCTTTCTCTAAAGGAAATTTTTCCTAACTCATGTAAAATTGACTCTCTCTTTCACCAGTCTCAGGATGTGAGCCACTGTGTTGGATCAGTAAGAAATGAACACCACAGCATATTCACTGCCCTCACCCCCAACACCTTTATCCCTCACCATCTTCTCATTCCACCTTAGAATCTGCCCTACTACATATGAGCTAACCTTGCCCTGCCACCACTCATGCAGATCTAAACTGTGTAATGCCTACCACTGTTGTTTTACCACCCTGCCCCATCTCTGGGGAGCTTATCTCTACCATGATTTCTCCCACCAGTGTGTGATGTTCGGCTCTGTTAGTTATATGACTTTATTTTACTGTGAAGGATTCTCTGTATTTTAATTATCTGCTTGCATATTTAATCTTCTTCTACTGCACAGTGAGCTCCACAGAACCTTTTTATGTCTGTAGCCATAGTACCTCGTAAGTGTTAATCATAAAGCAGGCAGTCATCACAATGACTCTTTGTAGAGTGAATGAATAAATGGTGTTCATTTATGAGTTGGGGACAGCCAGCTGTCATCCTTCACTGATTCATGGCTTTAACAAAACTGTAATCTCTAAGAAGTGGTATGATTGACAGAGCTGCCCTGAAATAGGAGTAAGAAGATGGAATACTTTGACCTAGGAAAGCACTTCTAGGTTCCCTGGTTTCCTTCCATTTAAAGTTGAATAGTATCTGCTCTGTTTACATTGCAGAGTTATTATTGAAAATATGAGATACTGCTTTGTCAGTTGAGAGATTCTCAATAAATGTAAACTGGACTGCTATTTGGAGAATGAGTACATTTTATTATAACTGCTGTGTTTTGGTATAATTCCTAATTTGTTCTACAAAATTTATGTGATGATAGAAAAATATGTGGGGAAAGATGTAACCACAGTAAGTTGGTCTGTCATGTACAAGTATTTGAAAAACAATAAGCAAGATTTAAAAATTTTATTTTAAGGGTCTCACATAATTTAATCCATTTTCTGCTTTATGTGGCTTTATGTGTGTCTTTTATTTCATTACCTTCTACAGCTTGAATTCGAGATATATCCTTCCTTTTAAGTTTGAATACAATTTTTTCAATCATTATTTTAATGTTTTCTGCTCTCGAATTTCCTTAATATTTTCCATTCCATGTTGATTTGTCCAGTTGAGCAGAATGATGGATACTACATGTACCATGTCTTGGAAAGATGGTTTTGATTTTTATAGAATATAAAATCAGTGTCTTTTAAATTTAAATTAAAATCTTAAAACATCTGATGTGCCTTTGGGCAAGTCATTTAGGCAAAATTGGGGTCATAATATCTCATAGAGTTGTTGATATGTTTAAATGATATAAATATCTTTAATTTAAAATATTTTCCTTTGGGGCCTCCCCGGTGGCGCAGCAGTTGAGCGCTGGGTTGCTAAGCTGCCCGCGGCCTCTGCGGCGCCGGTTCGATTCCCGGCTGCTCCCCGGCCACGGGAGGAGGGTCCCACATGGCACGCAGACCTCTCCTGCCGCCCGCTGCTCCCCTCAGCAGTGTACTTCGGTCCTTCTGCCTGTTTTGCTCCCCGCTCTGGCTCTGGTGAATTCTCTCACCCTCCCGCACTTCTGACTGTACCCAGTGCATGTAGAAATAAACAAACAAACAAACAAATAAATAAATAAAACATGCCTCTATAAAAAAAAATAAAATATTTTCCTGTGTAATATAAATACTCAGTAAAAGTTTGTTTTGTTATTATTGTTGATGATAATGTCAGTGTATAAATGTTTCTTTTTTATTTTTTAAGTGAGGTATAATCGACATATAACAGTTAAAGGTGTATAGTATAATCATTCAGTATTTGTATATATTGAGAAATTATTACGACAATGAGTCTAGTTAACCTTTGTTACACATGAATCATTTTTCATTTCAGCACTGGGACCATTAATGTTTTATTTCTATGTGAAGTGTCTCTTAATTTAATCAGCAATTTGACCCATTTCCCCCTCCTAAATCTAGATTTACCTTTAAGATAGAAATAATGGACAGTAATTTATGTATAATTATTAAGTGCAGAATTGAGTGAAAACAATAAAATGTCTAATGTCTTTTCAAGTGATACAACTTAAGAAATATGTGTCAAAGCTCTTATTTTACTCAGTGAAAACTTTCAGACTGCTAGAGAATTCAAGTCCAATAAGTTGATCTGTTTATCTGCTGTTATATTCTAATTGACTGTTAAAATTTCACTTTTCACATTTGCAGTAGATTCTACAGTAGATTTCTGTATATTCATATCAGATGCTTACTATAGCATCTGTACTCTAGAAATTGAGGAAATAATTTGAAATTGCTTTTAATAAGGTAAAGTCCTTTAAAAATATAATTTGTATAGCTTGAATTGAACATAGATAACAGACTTTCTTGAAAAATCTTGCATTTGCATTTTAACCATACTTAGTGTACAACTAATGGTGGTGGATGTTTATAACATGGGAAATGTTTAAGTACCAGAGTCTAATCTTCACAAGACCTTGTTGTATGTGTTCTTCCATTTAGAGCTGTTGCATGAGTTAAAACTTCGATGATTCTATTCATTATTGCAGTTCAAATTTGAGACATACTATGTTTATATAAGAAAGAACGAAACAAACAATATGTGATTATCTAATTGAATCAGCCTCACAGTATTAACTGTTGCACAATGGAAGCTGTTCTACAGTGTCACTCATTTTAAACCACATAATCAAAGTTTCTTAAAGCTACATAATGATTTATTTACTTAAGCTTTAGATTAAAAAATTTTTTAGTAGTATAATAGTAGAAACTGTTATTTTTAATTCATAGCTTGTCTGCATTTCAGTTATTAGAATTGCATTTTGGGCCTCCCCAGTGGCGCGGTGCATTGAGCGCCACGCTGTGAAACTGTCCGCAGCCTCTGCAGCTCTGGTTCGATTTCCAGCAGGCCAGGGAGATACCCACATGGTGTGGCAGAACTCTCCTGCCTCGCCTGCCGCTCCCCTCAGTAGTGTCTTCCGTCAATCTGCCAGTTCTGCTCCCCCCTCTGTCTCTGGTGAATCCTCTCACCCTCCCGCGCATCTGACTGTACCCCAGTTCTTTTATAAATAAATAAAATCTTAAAAAAAAAAGAATTGCATCCTAACTTATAAAGATCCTTAGAGCAGTTTGCTTTCAAGGACCCAAAGAGTTGATGATATTGATGATTTATGCCTAATTTCATTCAAAGGTGATGACGTTCCTTCTCAATGAAGATTTATTGCTATTTCTGTCTGATCAATGTCTTTAAGATGAAGATTTTCCTTAAAAAGACTTGAAAAGAGGAGGATGGAGATGAGGGAATGGGAAAGAGAGAGAGAATTTAAGATTATTGGTGATAATAGCTATGAGAATGAAGGAAAGGAGCTTGATGTGGTCTAGAGAGCCTCAGAGAGAAGGTGATGGGAAAGCGATTAGGGGTTAGATAGCTCTCTACACTCCATGAAGACACTTTCTGCACAAGTTAGCCTCTTTTGCTCTTTGGGGCTTGCTCTTTTATGGGGAAAAGGAAAAGTATATGTATGTAAGTAACTACCTAATTATGTCACGCGGGTATGTGTAATTCAGATGTTCATAATTTAATAAAAAGAGTACTGAATATGCTTTCATGTTGCTTGAGGAACACCTAATGGTCTGACAATACTGATGTAGAAGGCATATTTAACATTTTCTTACTTGTTTAGCCTATCCATTTTGTGCGTCTGTCTCCTTGTTAGAATCTGAAAAGTAGAAATGATAGGATCCAAATGTGTTGTTAAATTGATTATCATTGATACTTTGAAAATAAAAAGAGTAACAAATATTAATTATAATTAGTTTGCTTTAAGGGGACTTATCTAAGACTTTTCAGTTTGTAACTTTCAATTTGCGTTTCTCTTACTAAGTTTCATAGGAGAATTTACAAAGGAATCCCACTCCAGCTCAGAGGTGAAGTCTGGGCTCTGCTTCTGGAGATCCCTAAAATGAAAGAAGAAACAAGAGACCTTTATACTGTGAGTGTCTAAAATGAACCTATTATTTTGAAATTAAAAAGAAAAATCCAGTTTTTTTTAAACTTTTGAGGGGATGTAAAAAATATTCATATCATTGTTTGAAGTTATATTAAAATTATATCAGATTTTATAGACCTATTATTTGTTTTCTTGATTGTTTCATTTTTTGCAATATACTTAAATTTCAAGCACATACTCAGTGTAAATAATATTTTCTGTATCTATCAGTACTTATCCAATGTTTTTTAAATACTCAATGATTGATCAATGTTGGGGCATATTCAGAAGGAAATATACTAACACCTGATTGTAGCTGCTTGCTTATAATAATAATGAAATCACTTCTTGAGTTTATGGGGAAATAACAGTAGATGCAATTTAAATAACAGTTGCCTGTACGTGATTGACTATTTTCTTCTAACTGTAAAAAAACAAGAATATTGCCCAAACAGTCTCTAGACTTTGTCATAATTTTGGACTCAGTGATCAGTAATGTTTGCCTAAAATTAGCCAATGCATAAAATATTCCTCCTTGTCATCTCAGCAGTATTCTTTTAAACCTAAATTTTGTACTTATCTTTCAAAGGAACTTACACCTCAATGTCATTTTGAAAAGCAGCCCTCAGAAAAATCTGCATAAATCAAATTAAAAAAGAATAAGTGAAATAAAGAAAATGATAATCTAAAGCCAACACTAATTATGAAAGGGGGTTTGGAATTCTCTTTTGGTACTTTCTCTTTGATATATACAAGTAAAATTTCATATTTTATTTATATATAAATAAAATTTCATCAAGATGGAAGGTGATAAATACTGGTTAATTTTAAACAGTTGCTCATTTTTTAATGAGTGAAAGATTTTTAAGATTTGCTGTTCAGATCCTATACAGACTGAGTTTCTGTCTCAGAATTTTAGTGTTTCAAGTTATTTGAGATTGTTAACAATTGTTAGAATAATAACAAGTTATTTTAGATTGTTAATAATTGTTAGATTGTTAGAATAATACTTCTAGAGCCACTGTTGAAATGATGTCTGAGAGAACATAAAATTGAAGCTAGCACCTTGTACAGTATGCTTGGCTTGTGGTAGGTACGTTATAAATATTTGCTTAATTAGCCAGGCTTAATCATCTTGTAGGCCAAACCCACAGTGATATTGCTAATTTTTAATCTCAGTACTTTGTTATACTTCTGACCCCCAGGTTTGTAGATTCATTAGATCTTATTTCTTTCAGATGTTTATTTTTGTATTATTGTAATAATCATGGATCTGAATCCACTCAATCTCTGAGCTAACTGTAGAAGCTGCTTGCCTCCTTTCATTACATAGAAAGTACGCTTGATTTCCTGCATTTTGCGTAGTGGCTTATAAACTTTCTAGGGCATAAATGATCTTTCTGAACTTTTTATTTTTTTATTTTTTATTTTTTTTTACCTACTTAATCTTGAGCTCATTTTTTTTCTGTTGGATTTTCTTGACATCTGGGAAACTGACAGCATAGATGTATAAACATATTATTTTCCTTTTCAACTAAATTTTATGTTAAAGCATATTCTGCCTTCTCAAACATTTTCTTTCTGTGTTTCAGTGTCTCAAAATCTTTTACGAAGAAGCCTATGAAACAATAATTGAAACCTCTTTACTTGTCACTTCCTATTTAAAAAAAAAAACACTTAAAAATATGTAGAGATTATTTTCAAAGCTAATTTTTTGTAATGCCTTCTGAACAACTTTTTATTTGAAATAACACACAATAGTGGTCATATGATTCTAATACAATACTTTAAATATCTTCCTCTGTCTTCATAACTCTTTTTTGGTTTTGTTTTTCATTTTAACATTTATCATTTTTTAACTTTTTTTAGACAATATTTGCTTCCCCCACCCCCTCAGATTGACTCCCCATAGAATTTCTTTCACCAATGCACCCGCGCACCATTGCCACATTCCCCTGTGTTCCTCCCTCCCTCCCTCTCATCCTTCTCCCTCCTCCTCCCCTGCAGTATGTCTCTGGTTTATAATTGTCTGTTTTTGCTTTGCTGTGTTTTGTACTGTTGTTATTATTATTTTTTATACTTATGTCTTATTTGGTTCCCCTATATTCCTGTTATAAGTGAAATCATCCAATATTTTTCTTTTTCTTTCTGGCTTATTTCACTGAGCGTAATTCCTTCTAGCTCCATCCACATTGCTACGAATGGCATGAGTTTATCTTTTTTGATTGCTGAATAATATTCTACTGTGTATATATACCATATCTTCTTGATCCAGTCATCTATTTTTGGGCATTTGGGTTGTTTCCAGGTTTTACCTATTGTATATAGTGCTGCAATAAACAAACATAGGTGTACAGGTGCTCTTTTGAATCCCTGTTTTTGTGTCCCTGTTTTTGGGTAGAACCCTAGTAGTGGAATTGCCAGATCACATGGTAGCTCCATTTTGAGTAGACTGAGGAACCTCCAGACAGCTTGCCACAGTAGTTGGACCAGTTTGCACTCCCACCAGCAATGTAGGAGAGTTCCTTTTTCACCGCATCCTCGCCAACATTGTTGTTGCTTGTTTTTTTGATATGTGCCATTCTTACTGGTGTAAGGTGGTATCTCAGTGTGGGTATGATTTGCATTTCCCTGATTATAAGGGATGTTGAACATTTTTTCATATGCCTGTTGGCCATTTGCATTTCTTCTTTGGGGAAATGTCTTTTGAGTTCTTCTGCCCATTTCTTGTCTGTCTTCATAACTCTTAAATGTTCATGGCTTACAAAACTACAGAAGCTGCCCTTCTATGAACTGTCACCCAAAACACAAAAATATACAAACTCAAAACACATCATATATATATATATATTCCAAATAGCGTTCTTTCCACTTTTAAATTAAGGCAGGAACTAACAAGGATATGTTCATATATATTTATTGGAATTGATTTTAGCAGGTATATACATATATATGTATGTATGTATGTATGTATGTATTACCCGTATATGGTCAATAATGTGTATATAGATATGTAATTATATTTAACATGGTTAGGTGTGAATTAATATAAATTTTATTTAAATTCCCTTCTGTTGAAACACGGGAGATTATACAAACTCATCTTGACCCTCTTAACCCTGAAATGTCATTAAATTGGTAGCAGAAAGTTTTTTAACAGACAGACTTACAAAGCATAAGAAAATAGAAGAGGTAACAGCAGCCAATTTTTGAAAACCAGAATCAGACAAACACTAAGTAAACAGTAAAAAAACTGGGAAAATGTAAATTCTAAGCTGGCAGTGGGAGATTAGAGAAACAACTTGATTTATATCTCAGAATCTCCAAAACATCATAATTATCAACTCTAGTTACCTCTGAATATGGAGGTAGAGCTAAAAACAGAAGTGTTGAAAGACTACTATAGAAGCAGTTAGAGCTCTTAAGTCTCCAACCCTGAAATGAGACAGGAGGTTAGCTATTTAGAGAAGTTAGAGCAGAAGATCTCTGGACTGGGGAGAACACAGTGCTAGGAGCAGGGGAGGAGTGGGGGCTGCTGTCATGAAAGTACAATGTCTTGAATTGAGTATCTTGAATTTGGGGCATTCAGCCTTTTTTCTTCAACCAGCTCTCAGAACATATGTGGGCAATGGTTATTTTCCTGACAAGAAGGTACCTTCTCTGGGGAACTAGCCAGCCTAAGAAAATAGAAGCAAAGGTACTGATTTCCAGGGAACACCACTGAAACTGCCTAGCCAGATTACTCCAGAGTGAAGACACAGTTGTGAAGCCCCAACCTCGCACACACAGCTTTCCATCAGCTTTTAAGTGTTCTACTTTTAAATATAAGCAGTCAGTGAGATATCACTATTTGTTGGAAAAAGGAATCTAACATGAAGGCAAATGAGAACAAATGGGAAAAAGGCAAATTACAGAGCAAGAAGAAAACTCTGAAAAAAATCACTAATATCTTCAGAGGGATAAAAACAAAAATTACGTCTATTAATCAATTATAATTGCTATAAAAAGGAATATTTAAGAACAAGGAGCTTATGAATATAAAAAAATAATGGAAATGAAAGATTCTAGAGGGAGGTTGAAGAAATTTCCCAAAAACTAGATTATAGTCAATAAGACAGAAAATAATAGAGAAATTGTAAGAAAACTAAATGACAGCCCAGGAAATTCCACACTGTAATGATAAGAGTTACAGAAAGAGAAAATGGAAGTGGGGAAGGAAGGAAGAAGAAATTGATAAAGAAGTATTAAAGTATTAAATTTCCCAGGACTGAGAGATGAGTTTTAAAGATTGACGAGCTCCATTGAGTAGATAAAAATAGGTCCAAACTAAACAGTAATGTGGTTTTAGAACTTGGAGAAAGAAATTCCTACAACTTCCAGAGAGTAAAAACAGATTTCATATAAAGCCAGAATTAGAGTGCAACACTGGAAACTGGAAGACAGTGAAGGCAGTGCCTTATGGACAAAAAAACTTTCGAGCCTAGTGTTCTCAAACAGCCAAACAAATAAGAAGGTAGTATTATCAGATTTCAAAGTTTCAGAAAATTTGTCTTCCATATACCATTTCACAGGTGCTACTGGAGAAAGTGTTCCTCCAGACAAGAGAATAAACCAAGAAGCAGATATGAGAACCATGCAACTGGGGACAACTAAAGGAAGACCTAGTGTATAGTGAAGGGCACCCCCATGGTCCTAGTTGTGTAGCAGGCCCAGAGCTCAGCCAGCCAGACTAGAGTAGTCAGAAGACTGGGAGACATGTCTCTAAGAGTTGAAGTTAAAAATAAACCCATTTTGTTTGAACACCAGCAGGGGAGAGTTATGCAATGTAAAGTGAGTCTGGGATTGAATTAATGAGGAGTATGTATCGATGAAGCAGAGCAAGAAATAAGGCAATGATTAGCTTCAAGGAAAAAAAAAATGTGCCAAAAGAGAAAAGAAACCACAGTAGACTGTGTGGCTTGACTGTAAAGAGCTTTTACATAGTCTTAGCAATGCAAACTCCACAAAGTTATTTGTACAAAGTGAAAATCTAACTGTGTTGACAGAATGGGAGGGAAAAGGGAGTGAGAAGAGGGGAGAAGGAGGTGTGGGTAGGAGAGAAACTTCATTATGTATCTTTTGTTTTGTTTTCACTTTTGAACCATGACAATGATTTTCCTACCAAAAAAATTATAAATAAGAATTATTTTACTATTTAACATAGACTTTTCAACAACTGATTTCCATAAATATGTGCTTTCTTCCTCTCTTTTTCCTCCAGAATTTAAAACACAGAGCACGGGGTTGTTCACCTGATATCAGACAAATAGACCTTGATGTGAACCGCACATTTAGGGATCATATTATGTTTAGAGACAGATATGGTGTTAAGTAAGTAAAGTTTAATAATATGAAATATAAATTCAAAGAGTCTTCATGAAAGTTTTTATAAATAACAAATAGTCTTTATCAAAGTTTTTATTGACATAAAATGTGTTCCAGTTGTCTTGTAGAGCCTACAATTTTGGTTGTGGTCCTGACTGTATAAGCTTTTGCAGATCACTTGGTCTATGTTGTGTGAAACTTAGGGTCTAATCTAACTCAAAAATTTAACCTTTGACATAATAGGTACTTTTATGCTGAAGAATCATTTTATGATCTGGGAATTCTTAAAATATGATACTCTTATTAAAATCATAAAAAAGAAATTAGCGATCGTTATTTATGAGAACCATATCAGTGGTAAATATATCTCTATAATCTTGAACACAGGAAAGATGAAACTGTCTAAATGACATGAGCGACAGTTTGCAAGTGAAGCATAGTTTTGCTGACCTCCATATCAGTTAAAGTTCAACTAGAAAAACCGAGAGAGATAAACTGAGAGATATAAACTAAGAGATTTATTTTAAAGAATTGACTTAGACACTGTGGGAGCTGACTGGGCAAGTATGAGATACTTTATGTAGGCCGTCAAGAGAGGGCAGGCTGGAACTCCAGGGCATGAGTGAAGTTGTTTCCATGGGAGATATTTCTTCTTAAAGGAAACTGAGATTCTGTTTTATCAGCCTTTTAACTGAATCAGACCTATCCTGAATATCTGGCATCATCTCCCCTTCTTAGAATCAACTAATGATGGTTTTTAATCTCATCTGAAAAATACTTTCTTTACAGCAACAGCTAGATTAACTTTTGAATAACTGGGGTTGGTAACCTAGCCAAGTTGAGGCATAATGCCAGCCGTCACAGTTCATCTTATTGACTTAATTTCCAGATGAAGACAGTAACAGTCATACTTCCATCTAACATGATACAGCTGTTTTGCTTATGACTAAAAATATGTTAACCCTTTCCCCACAAGAAGATGCAGAGTCCCTGGGGTGCTGTTCACTCTTCTTCTTTGATAGTCTGTAACCTAAATACTGTGCTATAAAGTTGACTATTATATAATTAATATATCTGACTAATATTTTATGTTAGATGATAAGAGAAAAGAGAAGGAAGATATATGCACACACACACATATAGACATGTATAAATATTTATATATAAATATATATCTATGATGTTATATGTATAAACATTTATTCTAAAATAAGGAAGAAAAGTATTAATTACAGTCATCATTTCTGCCACTGGACATGTGGTCATAGCTGTTTTATAACTTTCTTTTACTACCCATTCCATATTCCCTGTGCCCTCAGCATATACCCCAGCTGCTTGTAGTTCTTTACCTGGTAGAGTGACCTAAACCTTTGTTGCTGAAGGCTCTGTACATTAGTGCATGGTTGTAGTTTTCCACTAACTTTAATCACAAGGTTTGGGATTTAGAGACTCCCTGAGCGTTCTCTTGTATTGTAGACATACTCTTCCTTATGTCCATTATGCAGTAGAAACTCAGTTTACTCTTTATAATGAGGATCAGTCTTTCTAGCCAAAATGGTCACTTCCTTCTTGGCTTGTTTATTCAGAAGCAAAAGGAGCCCAAAGTGTGTGGATGGCAGACTCAACTTGCAGTTCAGTGGAATTGCTGTTGTGTTACTTAGTGGAAACATTCCTGCCATTGGAACTAAAACCTCTAAACCAGCAGGCCCTAAGGTTGACTGGACAGGAAGCAAACACTTATCTAGAGGACCACTAGGGGTAATGATGGGTGGAACCATCTCATATCTACACTTTGACTCTTGGACTCCTGCATCCTATCTGTGGGAGAGACCATACATTATAGTGTGATTTAGAGAATGTATGGCCTCCTGGAAGACATTGCTCCAACCCTGCAGGGTATTCCACCTAGCCAGGAATAGACTTTCCAAAAGACTATTCCAGAGTTCTATCAAAATAATTGTTCCTGTAGGGATGATTTTAGAATGAGACTATAGTTCATTGAAAGACAGTGACAAATTAAAGATATTGTTATGCCCTTTTGTGTTTTTTGTATAAATTTTCTATCAGAATGAATGTTACCTAGCCTCAAATTTAAACTATATATTGTTTAAACTGACCTTGGGATCATTTCTTTATTATAAATAGTCAGTATATCTGCATTATCTGTTTGCTTTTAATTTGTTTTTTTAAGTTTATAATTAAAAAAAAGTGCAATAACTAAATGTAAATTTTCTTTTCTGTAGGCAACAATCCCTATTCCATGTTCTTGCTGCGTATTCTATTTATAATACGGTAAGTTTTGATTGTGCCTGCCCACAGTTCTTAGTGTTGTATTCTGAGGACCTGGGGGAACAGTTTTGGTACTCCCTACTAACAAGGCTCTTTTGGGCTGAGTTTCTCCATCTTAGGACTAGATGATCTCTTTCAGCTCTGGATTTTTACAGGGCTTCTATGGCAACTATGGGGTCTTAGAGCAGAGCTGATTTGGAAGTGAAAAAAACTGCAGTATACTCATGAATCTCACCTTTTCCCTTTTTCTCCAGATTACATTTTGATATGTTTTATCTTGTTTGTTTTGTTTTTATTTTAATCAAACAGGATTAGGTCAGGATGTTGATGGGTAAATTTTTACTTGACTCTTGATAACTCTCCATTGTCCCTGGGAGGTTGTGTTATAGTGTCAAATTTTACCCATTTGGTGAGGTCCAAATAGGAAAATATGTGTACCTACCTGCCCATAAGTAGGCAAAAATTAAACTTTCTAGTAACAGAACATGTTGTTCTTAAGGCATTTATCACTCTGGGAAGGAGGTCTTAATTTGGGCAAAGAGTATTTAATGTTCAACCTCATTTAGATGTTGTATTAGTGCTTGTTGACTTGGTTTCAAGGAGGACAAGGTTTGAACCTTGTTGGGGTGTGTAATTTCTATTATGATTATAATCTTTAAATTACAACAATTTCACTCAAACTAGTACAAGTAAAAAAAGAGTTTATTAAAGGGACCTCTCATAGAAATGAAGTTATAGTTGATCCTCATGGGAATTGGAGCTGGCAAGTGAGAAACTTCCAGAAAGGAGGAGAGCTGCACCTTCCTTCTCTTGCACTCTGGGATAACTCTAATCATGTCTAAAAACTGTTTATTCTACTGTTTCTCTCCCTGAATTGCTTTCTTTGACTACTTACCAGTTTCTTCTTGGCCAAAATTGCATCCATAGATTCTGTGTGACCACTCTGTTCAAGTACATACCACCATCTGGTTATGGACTCTGTGGCTTTATTCATATTTCCTAAAGAGAGTAACTTATTACTCAGTACAGCCAATTAATTGTTCCCCTGTGGACAAGTGTCCTCTTCTGCTGCATCAACTTTGATGAGCATGGCACAAACATGACTCTTAATCCACACTACAAGCAGGGAAGATGGGCAGAGTGTGCATTTCTCAGAGAAGGTGGAGAAGCTATATGGTTATCCCCAAAGTCTCTACATAAAGGTCCAAAAATCTAGAGAAGACCAGATGGCATGTTGGGAAATGGAGAAGGAGAGAAATTTGTCAACAGATGAGCAAAGAATATTTAACTAAGAATCATACATATAAAAGAAACAAAAAGCTGTTGTGCCCCTTACTGAAAGTATGATAGTACCGAATAGGGGCAATAGAAATATGTGTAGGTTTAGGCTTTTCCAAACCTCAACATTTGTTCTTCAACACAATTCTATTTTGTTATAAGATGTGACTCAATGCTGTAAAGAGTATATTTTTCTGTAAAATTATCCACTAAATGTGTTCAGGGTTGTTGTTGTTGTTTTTTTTAATATTTTATAGATCAGTTTTTATCTGAATAGATAGATCATTGGATTTAAAAGCATCAATTTATTTGTTCTCATTTACTCTTCAGGAGGTTGGATACTGTCAAGGAATGAGCCAGATCACAGCTTTACTCCTTATGTATATGAATGAAGAAGATGCCTTCTGGGCCCTGGTCAAACTGTTCTCAGGCCCCAAACACTCCATGCATGGTAAGAAAGCCCCAGAGTTTATCATACAAGGCAGGGAGAATAAGGTAAATGAAAACAAAATACAAAAACTTCATGTACAGGGACTTGTTCAGTTAATTCGTCTTTGTTGTAATTTCACATTTCCTTTTTCTTTATTGAGCTTTTCTGTTCACATTTATATTCCTTTGTGTTTACCCTAAACTATATTGTTACCATTTAAGAATTCTTTCCTTAACTTGCCCCCAGGCAGCAGAAACTAATTTAAGTTTGGAGGAATTTAAGAAAAACTGTATTATTGGGAGAAATAAAAGATGTCTTTTGATTAAAACTATTGACAGTCCTGCAGTTGTCATCTCAGTGAAAAATATCTGTTATTGACTAGATATTCTGATGTATAACTGTCAACAATTTATTGAGAAATGACACTTAAGTATTTAAAGGAAAGGTACATAATAATTAAGTAATTTTATATTTCAAGTGTGTTTTAGTTCTTCCAGCTGTAAAATTGGTTGCATTTTACATGAATGGCTAATAATAGGTTCTGGGCACTTTACTGTTTGATTTCAAAACTTGGCATAATTTTGGGTTTCAAATTGGGAAATTTTTTTTTATGATCTTTTACTTATATTTGCCAAGTATATGCAATAAGCTTTGTTTTAGAGAGTTTGGATTACAACCTGTCTTGGCTAAGTTAAATAAAACTGATTTTTGTTTCTAAGTACGAATTTACTTTCTCAGTGCTATCCATGTGGTGTCAAATTAAAAACATTTTAATAATAATCCCTCTAGAATGGATTGTTAAGTTCTCTTGTGAATATTTAAGCTTTATATGCTAGGAAACCTGTCACATGTTTAAAGTTATATTTTATACAGTTATATAAAGTTATATCTACAACAGTATTTTACTATCCTAATATTTGCATTTATACTGTAGTATAGAACATTGTGGGTAAGCTTATACTTTGAGATACTTCTTTCTGGGTCTGCCCATGAAATTTTATAGCTAAATTAGGTTATCTCAATTCTTTGCATTTTCTATATAAAAGTGGTATCATTTATATATATGTAGAATCAAAGTGGGGCCTGAAGAAAAAAAGAAAATATCAAGTCTCTAGGATATCACTGAAAAGTGAGGAGGGCCTCCCTGATGGCGCAGGTGATTGAATGCAGTGTTGTAAAGCTTTCTGCAGCCTCTGCAGCATGAGTTTGATCCCTGGCCAGGGAGCCACCCACATGGGGCAGCAGACCTCTCCTGTCTCGCCTGCTGCTCTCCTCAGCAGTGTATTTCCATTGTCTGCCTGTTCTGTTCCCTGCTCTCTCTCTGGCATATCCTCTCACTCTCCCACGCCTCTGGTCTGTACCCTAGCTCTTGTATAAAAATAAATAAATCTTTTTTTTAAAAAAAAAAGTGAGGAGCTGTTCAGTATCTTAGGATCCTTGAACTAGTGTCATTATTGAGATCCATTGCCTTTTTCAAAATGCCCACTCTTTCCTGAAATTTTTCCAATTCCTATTCTTGTCAAATTGACTGTGAAAGCTACACAGATAGAGAGATAAAGATTTTTTTTTTAATAAAATAATTTCACTGAAAAATGTAATTAAGAGAGGATCTTTTTCTGGAAATTTTTACACACCTTAGAAAACTGAGAATTACTTAAGAAATAGTCCTTTCCAAAGATTGTAATATGATGTTTTTCAGAGGTATCTTCATTAGGTCTTGGAGGAACATAGCTTTACTTTATGAAGATAAATGTTCTGTGGGGAAAAATTGGACTCTAGGATCAAATAAGTCTGGCAGCTGAGTTAAACAAAGAGTCCTAGGGTTCTTTAATCTACAAAATAATCTAAAAGCATTGAGAAGCTCATGCATCAGGAATACTCAGGAAGTGTATGTATAACAAAGAGCGTTTCCCTGGGATTATTTTATGTATACCAAATTATTTTCATTGAGGTAATTATGTTACAATACTGTATGTTTTAGGAGTTTACGTTCATACCTCTTCAAATATATATTACCACATCACACCCACTACCAAAACACCAGTATTTCACCACCAACGTAGAACATCTCTGTATACCTTTCAAAGTTACATAGACCTCAGGGTGGAAAATACTATTGTGGAGAAATCATAAACCCATGTTCTTTTTCATGGATTGTGTATAATATCTGAAAAGAAACTCCATATAAAATGAGATGTAAAGTTCCATGAGTTAAGTATACAGATTTACTAATAGTTTGCTACTTATAATTGGTTATTTCTTAGAAATCTTATATATTGTGTAATCAGTTGGGATAAAATACAATTTTTGATGCAACATTGATCATACAGTACCTATAGGTTTGAGCAGATACTAAATTAACTTGTGGGAATGTTTGAAAAGTGATCAAAATGTTGAAAGCATGATACTAATGAAATTGTTAGAGGAAGCCTGAAAAAGTATGAAAATGTTTGTTATGTAATTTATTAACAGTAAGACAAAATAAATATCAAGATTAGAATAGCCTATAAAAAATAGTGTACTAAGATGTGGCCCAGTACTTTAAATGGCTTCAGTTTTCTTTTTTTCTTAGCTTCTTAGTTACCTTTTTAATCAGAAATATATCATAAAAAATCTTTAGCAGATGAATACTAGGTTACAGTACAAGTTTCATTACCTAAAGCTTATTCACAATTATTTCCTTGAATATTGATTATTTTGTTGCTGCTGTTAGTTAAAAATGAAAGATGTTACATGTTAAAATAGGTGTTTTTGTTGGTATTACATGACGTATTGTTTTTATGTTTGTATTCTAGGCTTTTTTGTTCATGGTTTTCCTAAACTCTTGAGGTTTCAAGAACATCATGAAAAAATACTGAATAAATTTATGTCCAAGCTTAAGCAACACTTGGTAGGTAGATGTGACAATGACTTATACCCACCTATAATGAGAATAAAGCTACAAGAACTAAGTGCAGCCTTGGGCCCAATCTTTTTATTGATTTTAATGTTGTTCATTCATTTATTATGCAGTTATAATTTCCGTTTGTTTGAGAAACATTAGATTTGTGAAATTTAGAATTGATGAACTATCACAGCCCTAAATCAAACTTCTTTGAAGTTTGATATCTATATCTATGTATACATACATACATGCAAACAATATAATTTTAAAGGTTTATGATTTCTCAGTAATTTTGCAGGATCTTTTATTGCATGAAAAATATTTTAAGGGTCATATGAACTATTTGTATGCTCTATGGTAAAACAGTGATTTAGTAAAGCAAAGATACTTCACTGCAAAATATTTAAAGAGAATCAAAATGTTGTATTATAATCCTTTCATAACAAGGATTTATTCTTAGATGATCAGTAAAATTGAGGGAAAAGGGAATATGAAGAGAATAGAAATATGAAAAAGATTTGTTGCAAAATGATTTTATGTTTAGCTTTGACAGCTACCTCCAATAGCAATACTAACTTTTAGTATTGTCTTGTCATGTTTTGTTTGCTACAATCCAGAAATTGTGAAGTCTTTGTTTTTTCAGGATTCTCAAGAAATCTACACAAGTTTTTACACAATGAAATGGTTTTTTCAGTGTTTTCTTGATCGTGTGAGTATTTATTTATTAAAGCCCAATCATAAAATTATAAATACCAGATGAAGGCAAACTGTTTATCTTATTTCTGGTCTGTTTTTGGTTATAGACTCCCTTTACACTAAACCTCAGAATATGGGATATCTACATCTTTGAAGGAGAGAGAGTTCTCACTGCGATGTCTTACACAATCTTAAAATTACACAAAAGTAAGAAAACATTTATAAAGATTTAAGAAAAATCTAACTTTGTTGTAATTCTAATTTCTTATTTCTTGCCCAACTTCAACTTCATTTCTTTTAGTAGTCAGTTAAGAAAATTCTTGAAAATTAGTGAAGAAGTAATCTTCAGGTGGTCATTTACTTTCATTGGTTCTTGTGACTAAACTTAGTATTGCAACTATCTTTGATTTTCTTTATATCCATTTCATTTTCATGCTTAAGCAGTAAAGTGCAATGTGTTGCTTTCACTAATAATATCCTTATTAAGTATTTGTTTCCACTGAGACCCCTATTCCTTTTCATCAATCTGAATCTCAGGTTTGTAATAGGAAGAGAGAGACCAAAGAAAACAGGCATCTTGTAAAAAGGACTGGAGAAGACATTTTCCATTACTGTTTCCTTCATCCAGGAAAAAACCAGCCAGCTCCAAGCTGTAGACCAGGGATGCATAACCTCCACCTCCATCTCTGTGACTGATTGCTTTGTGGCCTCTGGGGCAAATACAGTCCATGTATATAGTTGCCAAAATGCAACTCAAGGCTTTAAAAAGTCTTCAATTGTAATATTTCAAGGGTTTTATAAATTTGATCTGCTATATCTTATTTTAAAAATCAAGAAATAGTTTTCTTTCTTCAAGATGAGGAGCCTAATTCATCAGTTTCAATTTAGCCTTAAAAGTTATGTGACTCCTGGGCCTCCTCGGTGGCACAGCAATTGAGCGCCGGGCTGCGAGGCTGCCTGCAGCCTCTGCAGCACCGGTTCAATCCCTGGCCAGCCAGCGAGGGTCCCACATGGCACGTAGACCTCTCCTGCTGCGCCCGCTGCTCCCTTCAGCAGTGTATTTCATCAGCCTGCCTGTTCTGCTCCCTGCTTTGGCTCTGGTGAATCCTCACCCTCCCGCGCTTCTGACTGTACCCATTGCTTGTATAAATAAATAAATAAATCTTAAAAAAAAATTATGTGACTCCTTATAGCTGCGCAGAGTACAAAATCATCAAAAGCTTTAGAACTTCATAAAGCACTTGTAATCCAGGCCTTACGACATAGTTTCTCATTCATGGTATTTTCACGTTATTCTTTTTTTTTTTTTTTTTGTAGTTTAAACTTTTATTTTTTTTTTTTTTAAATAATAAATTTTATTTTTATATTCCCCCATACAATTGCAAACCCCCCATTCTGACCCCAATCCCTCCCCTCCTGCCCCCCACCCCCCAAAAAGTGTCTCTGGTTCATAGTTTTTTGTTGATTTTGATTTTCACTTTCTTATAATTATTCATTTTCCTGGTCCTTTATTTAAGTTTTCTAGATTCCTGCTATGAGTGAGACCATCCGGTATTTTTCTTTTTCTTTTTGGCTTATTTCGCTGAGCATGATCCCTTCCAGCGCCATCCATGTTGTTGCAAATTGCATGTGTTTATCTTTTTTGAATGCTGAGTAATATTCCATGGTATATATGTACCACATCTTCTTGATGCAGTCATCTATTTTTGGGCATTTGGGCTGTTTCCAAAGCTTACCTATTGTAAATAGTGCTGCTATAAACATAGGGGTGCAGGTTTTCTTTGGAATTGATGTTTCTGTGTCCTTTGTGTAAATACCTAGGAGTGGAATTGCTGGATCATATGGAAGCTCTATGTTTAGTAGGTTCAGAAATCTCCACACAGCTCTCCATAGTGGTTGGACCAGTTTGCACTCCCACCAGCAGTGTAGAAGAGTTCCTTTTTCTCCACAACTTCGCCAACATTTGCTGTTGCTAGTTTTTTTAATATGTGCCATTCTCACTGGTGTAAGATGGTATCTCATGGTAGTTTTGATTTGCATTTCCCTGATTACAAATGATGTTGAACATTTTTTCATATGTCTGTTGGCCATTTGCATTTCCTCTTCAGAGAAGTTTCTTTTTAGCTCTTCTGCCCATTTTTTGACTGGATTATTTTCTTTGTTGTTGCTGAGTCTCATCAGCTCTTTGCAGATTTTTGTGATCAGTCCTTTATCATTAGTGTTGTGTGCAAAAATGTTCTCCCAGTTGGTGGGGTTTCTCTTTGTTTTTGTTATTGTCTCTTTTGCTGTGCAGAAGCTCTTTAATTTGATGTAGTCCCAGCTGTTTATCTTTGCCTTCACTATCACTGCTTTGGGTGATGTGTCTGTAAAGATGTCTTTGATATGCAAATCACGTAGTGTTTCGCCTATATTTCCTTCTATGTATTTTATGGTTTCAGGTCTTATGCCTAGTTCTTTACTCCATTTTGAGTTGATTTTTGTGTATGGTGTGAGGTAGTGGTCAAGCTTCATTCTTTTGCATGTAGCGACCCAGTTTTCCCAGCACCATTTATTGAACAAACTTTCTTTGCTCCAATGCATAGTCTTTGCTCCTTTGTCAAAGATTAGTTGACCATAAATCTGTGGGTTTATTTCTGGATTTTCTATTCGATTCCATTGGTCTGTATGTCTGTTTTTGTTCCAATACCATGCAGTTTTGATGATTATGGCTTTGTAGTATAGTTTGAAGTCTGGGAGTGTGATGCCTCCATTCCCTTCTTTTTTTTTCAGGAGAGCTTTGGCTATTCGGGGTTTTTTGTGATTCCATATGAATTTCATCAATAATTGTTCTATTTCTTTGAAGAATGAAATTGAAATTTTGATTGGAATAGCATTGAATCTGTATATTGCTTTTGAAGGATGGCCATTTTAATAATGTTTATTCTTCCAATCCATGAGCAGGGGATATCTCTCCATTTCTTTGTGTCTTCTTCTATTTCTTTTAACAGTGTTTTATAGTTTTCTTTGTATAGGTCCTTTACCTCTTTTGTTAGTTTTATTCCCAAATATTTGATTTTTTTTGTTTCAATAAAAAAAGGGATGGTTTTTTTGATTTCTTCTTCTTCAGATTTATTGTTTGTGTATAGGAAAGCTACTGACTTTTGCGTGTTGATTTTGTATCCTGCCACTTTACTGAACTGATTGATCAGTTGAATTAGTTTTTCTGTGGACTTTTTTGGGGTTCTCTATGTATATTATCATATCATCTGCAAATAGTGATAGTTTGACTTCTTCTTTTCCTATTTGGATTCCTTGGATGTCTTTCTCTTGTCTTATTGCTCTGGCTAGGACTTCCAGTATTATATTGAAAAGCAGTGGTGAGAGTGGACATCCTTGTCTTGTTCCAGATCTTAATGGAATTGCTTTCAGCTTTTCACCATTGAGAATGATACTGGCTGTTGGCTTGTCATAGATGGCCTTTATTTATTTTTTTTTATTAGATAATAAATTTTATTGTTATATTCCCCATACAATTGCAGCGCCCCCATTCTACCCCAATCCCTCCCCTCCCGCCCCTGCCCCCCTAAAAGTGTCTCTGGTTCATAGTTTTTTGTTGATTTTGATTTTCACTTTCTTATAGTTATTCATTTTCCTGGTCCCTTATTTAAGTTTTCTAGATTCCTGCTATGAGTGAGACCATCCGGTATTTTTCTTTTTCTTTTTGGCTTATTTCGCTGAGCATGATCCCTTCCAGCGCCATCCATGTTGTTGCAAATTGCATGTGTTTATCTTTTTTGAATGCTGAGTAATATTCCATGGTATATATGTACCACATCTTCTTGATCCAGTCATCTATTTTTGGGCATTTGGGTTGTTTCCAAAGCTTAGCTATTGTAAACAGTGCTGCTATAAACATAGGGGTGCAGGTGTTCTTTGGAATTGATGTTTCTGTGTCCTTTGTGTAAATACCTAGGAGTGGAATTGCTGGATCATATGGAAGCTCTATGTTTAGTAGGTCCAGAAATCTCCACACAGCTTTCCACAGTGGTTGGACCAGTTTGCACTCCCACCAACAGTGTAGAAGAGTTCCTTTTTCTCCACACCCACGCCAACATTTGTTGTTGCTAGTTTTTTTAATATGTGCCATTCTCACTGGTGTAAGATGGTATCTCATGGTAGTTTTGATTTGCATTTCCCTGATGACAAGTGATGTTGAACATTTTTTCATATGCCTGTTGGCCATTTGCATTTCCTCTTCAGAGAAGTTTCTTTTTAGATCTTCTGCCCATTTTTTGACTGGATTATTTTCTTTGTTGTTGCTGAGTCTCATCAGCTCTTTGCAGATTTTTGTGATCAGTCCTTTATCATTAGTGTTGGGTGCAAAAATGTTCTCCCAGTTGGTGGGGTTTCTCTTTTTTGTTATTGTCTCTTTTGCTGTGCAGAAGCTCTTTAATTTGATGTAGTCCCAGCTGTTGATCTTCGCCTTCACTATCACTGCTTTGGGTGATGTGTCTGTAAAGATGTCTTTGATGTGCAAATCACGTAGTGTTTCGCCTATATTTCCTTCTATGTATTTTATGGTTTCAGGTCTTATGTCTAGTTCTTTAATCCATTTTGAGTTGATTTTTGTGTATGGTGTGAGGTAGTGGTCAAGCTTCATTCTTTTGCATGTAGCGACCCAGTTTTCCCAGCACCATTTATTGAACAAACTTTCTTTGCTCCAATGCATAGTCTTTGCTCCTTTGTCAAAGATTAGTTGACCATAAATCTGTGGGTTTATTTCTGGATTTTCTATTCCATTCCATTGGTCTGTATGTCTGTTCTTGTTCCAATACCATGCAGTTTTGATGATTATGGCTTTGTAGTATAGTTTGAAGTCTGGGAGTGTGATGCCTCCATTCCCTTCTTTTTTTTTCAGGAGAGCTTTGGCTATTCGGGGTTTTTTGTGATTCCATATGAATTTCATCAATAATTGTTCTATTTCTTTGAAGAATGACATTGAAATTTTGATTGGAATAGCATTGAATCTGTATATTGCTTTTGGAAGGATGGCCATTTTAATAATGTTTATTCTTCCAATCCATGAGCAGGGGATATCTCTCCATTTCTTTGTGTCTTCTTCTATTTCTTTTAACAGTGTTTTATAGTTTTCTTTGTATAGGTCCTTTACCTCTTTTGTTAGTTTTATTCCCAAATATTTGATTTTTTTTGTTTCAATAACGAAAGGGATGGGTTTTTTGATTTCTTCTTCTTCAGATTTATTGTTTGTGTATAGGAAGGCTACTGACTTTTGCGTGTTGATTTTGTATCCTGCCACTTTACTGAACTGATTGATGAGTTGCATTAGCTTTTCTGTGGAGTTTTTGGGGTTCTCTATGTATAATATCATATCGTCTGCAAATAGTGATAGTTTGACTTCTTCTTTTCCTATTTGGATTCCTTGGATGTCTTTCTCTTGTCTTATTGCTCTGGCTAGGACTTCCAGTATTATATTGAAAAGCAGTGGTGAGAGTGGACATCCTTGTCTTGTTCCAGATCTTAATGGAATTGCTTTCAGCTTTTCACCATTGAGAATGATACTGGCTGTTGGCTTGTCATAGATGGCCTTTATGATGTTGAGGTATGTTCCTTGTATCCCAAGAATTTCAAGGGCTTTTATCATGAATGGGTGTTGCACTTTGTCGAAAGCTTTCTCAGCATCTATTGATAGTATCATATGGTTTTTATATTTCTTTTTGTTGATGTGTTGGATAACGTTGATTGATTTTCGGATGTTAAACCATCCTTGTGTCCCTGGAATGAATCCTACTTGGTCGTGGTGAATTATCTTATGGATACATTGTTGGATTCTGATAGCTAAAATTTTATTGAGGATTTTTGCATCAGTGTTCATTAGGGAGATTGGCCTGTAGTTTTCCTTTTTTGTGTTGTCCTTGTTCGGTTTTGGTATTAGTGTAATGTTGGCTTCATAGAACGTGTTTGGTATTGTCCCTTCCTTCTCAATTTTTTGGAAGAGTTTGTGAAGGATAGGCACTAATTCATCTCTGAATCTTTGGTAGAATTCATTTGTAAATCCATCAGGTCCTGGGCTTTTGTTTTTGGGGAGGTTTTTGATTACCATTTCAATTTCTCTAATTGTAATTGGTCTGTTTAGGTGTTCTATTTCTTCTTTATCTAGCTTTGGGTGATTGTAGAGTTGTAGGAATTTGTCCATCTCCTCTAGATTGTTGAACTTGTTTCCATACAACTATTCATAGTAGTTAATGATTATTCTTTTGATTTCTGCTGTGTCCGTTGTGATTTCTCCTCTTTCATTTATGATCCTATTTATTTGTGCTTTCTCCCTTTTTTCCTTTAATTTTCACGTTATTCTTGAATGATTCATCTGTTCAGCTTCCCAATGAAATTATAAGCTAATTGGAGTGATGTTTTATAGTTTTTCTTCTTGCTGTGCCTTTATCTTTGTTCTAAGTGCATATTGGGTACTTTAATGGAAAATTATCTGATTATTTACTTGAAAAGCATGGACTTCAGGAGTACCATATTATCCAAACTTTAGATAGGAATGAAAACTTCCTTTAAAATCATGTTTGTATTGTTTTCAATGAGAGAAAAGGACCCAAAAGTGTAACTCATTTCCTTACACCCAGAGTCTGTGGTATAACCACACACTACCTCTCTCCTCTTCCTTTGATCCCCTGCTTTATTTCTTTTCTTTCTTTCTGAATTTCGAACTGACCAAGATATAGAAAGAATATTTATTTTTCATAGACATGGCCTTATTGGTTTAATATTTCCTCGAGAGTAAATAAAAGCGTATTTCCTCCATAACTCTCTTCCCCCTCTTAAATTATATTTTACCTATGAATTGATTAATTTTGACAAGTTAAAAATTTTCTTCACCCTTTGTAAACTAAGTATAACTGTTACTTTATATCCTAATATATCATTAAACTAAATAAGCTATAAGGAGAAATCTGTCTGTTGCTGTGTCTTTTTTCTCAGTTTAAGAAGGAGACAAAGCTCTAGGACTTACATGAATTTCCTTCACCACCATCTAAAATGTCTAAAACTGTCTCAGCACCTTTACCAGTAAGATATAACATAGCTTCTAAGATTTTTTCCTTTTTCCTTAACAATATTTAGTAATATTATTACTGGAAGTTTATCACACTGTGGTGTTAAATAGTAAAACAATTAGAAACAATCTGTTATTCAAAGACTAATTAAATGGTAGTACATGCACACACTAGACTCGTCTAGTATTAATGATGCTATAAAGTCATATTTACTGAACTGGGCGATATCAGTGATATACTTCATTGAGTAGGGAAAAAACAAGGAAAGTGTAAGTATAATTTTTTTGTTAGTTAATAAACATGTATACACATCTGCCTTTAGAATAATCACTAGTAGGAATCTTAGCTGAGTTTTACTTTCTGCTTTGTATCTGTAATTTGAATTTTTTCAATAAAATTAATTTCATAGGTAGAAATACAAATCAAACTAATATTCCATATTTTTTTGAAATTCAGAAACTCTACATGTGGATTTGCCCATAACTGTTGGCACTTGTATCAATAAAACAGAAAGCCTTCATGTATTCTGGGTGGTCTTTCTATGTCTGTTTTCTCTAAGGTTAATATCAACATGGTTATGGTTTAATATTAACATATGGGTGTTAATATTAACATAATTGTTAATATTATGATTATTCTTAAACCAATTGAGAGGATATTTATTTACCAGTATTCATCTCCTTTCTTCTGCCAAAAGTACTTGCTTTTCTCCCTGATAGCTTTCCTATGAGAAAATACTTTAGTCTCGCTGAATTTCAGTGATATTCACAATACCATATATAAGTTATCTGCTGTGCCCTTTAAAAAGAAATACTACATCAGAGTAAAATATGTTATTTCTGAACCTAAAGTAGCTGTTAACATAGCATTTTAAATTTCTCTCATCCTTTCTTAGAACATCTAATGAAATTGTCTATGGAAGAACTTGTCGAATTTCTTCAGGAGACCTTGGCAAAGAATTTTTTCTTTGAAGATGACTTTGTGATAGATCAACTTCAGATTTCCATGGCAGAACTAAAGAGGGCGAAATTAGACCTTCCAGAACCTGGTAAGAAATATCCGAACAGTTTGTATCTAAAGTACAAATTAAGAGTAGAAAGCACTGTGCAATTAATGTGGGCCATTTCTCTTCAAAGTATAAACATTTTTATGTACTTGTGAGGACATAATATAAACCACTGTCTTACTAGCTGCTTATGACTTTATTCTTATTTTAAGAGAAAGCAAATAAACACATCAACTAAATCTACCTCCCCTAGTAGCATAGCTGTATTATCTCTACTGAAACTTACAGAGTTTGGTTGACAAGTAATATTGTTCAACAGAAATAACTATGGTGCTTTCAACTAGCATTACAATAAGTACTTTTTACTTTTATCACTTCGATTTGTGAAATCATATGCAATAACAGAGTGATTATACATCCCATTTTGTAGAAGTGGTATTTAAATGCTCTTATATGAAACTACAGAATCATCAGATAACATTGACCAAGAGTTCAAGTATTCTGACTAATGATCCAGGGCTTTTTGCATTATATTGCAGTGCAGGTAATATATTTTATTCACTTATTTTAATATATCTTCCAGTACCTCCTGTTAGGTTTTCTGCTAGGTGTTGTGCAGGATCTTTAATATCCCCATGCTTCTTGCTTTCCTGGTATACAAGGAAAGACAGGATTTATACAGATGATAGCAATCTAGTATGCATAGGGTAATATAAGAGCTGGATATAGGATAAATGGCTATTTATCAGAGGAATTATTACAAGAACACCCCACAAATCTGAGAGTGGTGGGCAGTGCCTCTCCGAACCCTCTGGTCAGCGCTCACCTTGTGCATTTCACCTCTGCTGCCCTGCTCTGGGGCCTGAGATGGAAAGGAAATAGTCAGTATTCATGCCCTTGGATAACGTTGAACTAAACATTTCCCACTCATTATAGTACATGCTTTGATGTCTACTTGGATAGGTCTCTCAAGAAGGAAAGAGAAATGCAATCACATAATAAATCTCTTTTCCTCTTTGGTAAAAAGCAAAATACTTTGCTTTTAGTTATTTTATTGCCAGGGATCTAGTCAGTTTATCTGAGGTTTGTTTTGGGTCATCAGGGTTCACTAAAAAACAAGTCATCACAGCAATAATTGAGTGTGGGCATAGGCTTCGTGAAACCATCACCTTTGCTAAGTGAGGTCAACCCTCCGTTGTTCAGAATAATAATGTCCATTTTCTGCTAATTCTTTCCTGAAGCAGGGAATGTATTTGGAACAGCAATTACTAACTATATTCTTTCTACTTCAACATTTATTTTTAAATGTCTTGCCTGCTTTTAAAAAGAGTTTAAGACAAGTTTAGTAAAGGACACATATAGAGAAAAAACATGTATTAGAACTATCTAAATGTGAGAATAAAATGTGAAAACCTGTTAATGGAATAGGATGATTTAGTATCGAACTAACTGCTAATATATATTAAATGCTTACTATTTTCTACATATTACATGCCTATCTCATTTAATTCCTGACAATAACTCTAAGGAAAAGTACCCATCCTCATTCTATACTTGAAGGTACTTAGTAGTAGTTGGTTGTAAGGTTATTTACTAGGAAATGGCAGCATGGGATGGAGAGTGGAGCAGAGGCATAAAGGGAGAGGGAAGGATAATACCAGGAGCATTGGCTGCATTTTGCTCTCATCATACTTGCACCAAGATGGATTCTGCACTTTCTAGGATAGTAATCTGTCTTGCATTTATATTTCAACTACTGCATTTACTTTCTGGACTTTTTACCTTGCAAGCTGCCCATTGTTCTCCTCTTTAAATTATTATGAGATATATATGGAACATTAAGATAACTAAATGAACATTATAGTAAGAAATTTTAATACCCATCTATATTTTTAAAAATATGCATATAAAAGTATGCATATACATTTGACTTTTTTATATTCATGCTTCTCATTTATTTTTCATCTCAAGAATTTATCCAACTATTATTGTTTCCTAAATTGCAAAAATATCAAATTGTATGTATAAGATTTTTAAAATGCCTTTTAGGTATTAATTTGATAATCATTTTTTCTCTTTTAAAACACTTAGCATGGTTTGTTCACACATGGTTTTCTTGACTTTCTTCACTGTTATTAATATTTTCAAATGCTTCTAATGTACTTCTTGGGTATACTTCTCTTAGTTGTGAACTTCAAAAGTACTGATGATTTATACTTGCTGATATTTTACTTAACATTTTTATTGTTATTCTTAAGTGAGTTTGCATTGTAGTTAACTAAAACTTATTAGGTTGTGCTGGCTTCATAATTTGGAAACTTTATATCTTTCCCTGTACTATGGAAAATTTTATGTAGTATTAAAATTGTTAATCATTCACTAATACACTTGTGAAGCTGTTTCAGTTTGATGTCTTATTTTGTGTGGAATTTCTCTGATAACTTTACACTTTCCTGATAATTGGTTATTGTTTTGTGATTTGTCTTCTGAGGTCAATGTGGGTTATTTATAATTTCTTTGGAAAATTTCTCACTTCTAGTTTTGAAATGTGTTTGTCCAAAGTTTTGCGAGAAACTTTTACCTTTTATACAAAGGTTAAAAAAAAATGTTAGAAACTTCTCCCCATGTACCCATTACCAATAATTTAAAAAAAATAAAGACATCATGATAATTCATCCTAGACACTTTAGTCTCAGTGTTCAAGAAACAAGGCCCTTCTCCTGGCTAACCACAATGTCACCATCCAACCTAACAAAATTTAAATATCATTCCCAAATATGATCAAATACTAATTCCATATTAATATAATTTTTTCAGTAGTCCTCCAAACTATCTTAGCTATTTTTCTCAACCAGGATTTAATCGCGGATCGTACTTTGTGTTTGATATACTTAAGTCTCTTAAAATGCAACAGCCACTTCTTCCTCCTCACTCCCTATCGCTACCATTTCTTTTCTTTTTACAATAAAACTTTCTCAACTCAGCAATAAGTATACTTTGCTTTCTTGTCATTTCTATGTTTACTGAATTAACTTCTTTAAATTCCTCCAAGAACTTTTTCTTTTTGCATTCACATCTTGGCCACCTATTAGACACACACAAAAGGACTTGCTTTTGGCCTATCTCAGTTTTTGACATGCATATTTTACAAAGCAAACTCATTTCCAGTTTTTTATTTCAAGTGAGAAATGTGCAACTTTTCCTTTTAGGTAGACATTTAGAGGTCACTGATGGATTATAAATTGGCCTAATTTCAATATTGTATCTCAGGGAAAAGGGACATCCAAAGAGAGGCTCAGAGATGGGCGAATAGCCGGTCAGTTGAGTAGTTAAAACACTCCCAACATTTATCAATTAAGTTCACCTTCATCTATGGTGTACTTCATGGGACTCAAAACAATTACAAATGTAACATCAAAGATCATGATCACAGATCACCATAACAGACATAGTAATTATAATGAAAAAATTTGAAATAGAACAAGAATTATAAAAATATGACACAGAGACATGAAATTGAGCCACATGATATTGAATAAATGGTGCTTGATAGATTTGTTCAATGCAGGGTTGCCACAAACCTCAATTTGTAAAACTATGTGGTATCTCCAGAGCTGAATAAGGTGAAGAAGCACAAGAAAATGTATATATTTAAAATAAAAACCTATTGTCTACAAGTAGTTAGCTTAAGAAATGTTTTTGAGAAGGTAAAGCATCTTGTGTCTTGATCATATACACACATATAAGCAAGTCAATATTACTGTGTTTTTAAAAAATTAAAAATCTCTTCTACTTTCTGGGTGTTTGAGCAGATTTTCATTTTATCTGTTTATATAGTAGAAATTGATTTTACAAATACTCATTAATATGTATGTGATTTGAAACACTAGTAAACAAACTATAATTTTTTAAATTATTTCACAGAAACTATTGAAAAAATATAGGATCAAATAGTTTTATAGTGATTAAGGTTTATCTTGTAAAGATTTGTCTCCTTTTGAATCCCTTATCTTTCAAACTTAATCTGACAGGACAAAAAAAAAAAATCAAGCTTATGAACCTAACTACACTAATCAAAATTTTTTTCTTACTGTCAGCTATAATTTAGAAAGCAAGCTGAAATTATTTTGATGACCTGGTTGAAGATTATATAGTGTTTGAATTGTGTATTCTTCTGGTTAATGGTCATTAAACAGAAAGTTGATTTTTCAGATATAAATTTGAAATCAGTAATTATGTGACAATACTTTAAAGACTCAGTTGGACTTAATATTTGATCTGGAAGGAATAAGATGAATCCTTTTCCCAGAATAATTTTTCTGACAACAGATCCACCATTTTTTACTGAAACTGTTAGAATCAGAGTACATATATTCTGTTGAAATTTAAAAGTGGAATGTTGCTCACAGAGAAAGCACTTAGAACACTTTCCTGTAATTATATGTCTCTTGTTGGCTGCGAAAAGCTGTTAATGCCTTCTGAGACAATTAATCTAAGTCTTGTAATTGAGAATGGTGTCCACTGGGTGGTGACAGAGACCTGAGTAAGATCCAGGATTGACAAGCATAAAGACACTTGAGAAGGACTACCTTATTTTGTAGAGCTGGCTTTACTTTTCTTTCTTTTTTATTTTTTTAAAGAAACAAACATTTTACCTTCATCCTGAAATATATCGAGTTGTATTTCCCTTTTTGAGTATTCTAGCACTAGCATAAAAATGCTCACCTCTTAGATGTTGAAATACTGGTGAAGAACACCATTAAAGTGGTATTTTCATAAAAGCATCCTGTTACAGCGATAAAAACTGTGGTACTTTCCTACCCTTTAAAGAATAAGGCAGTAATTCTTCATGTATACTCCTGTATTTTCAAGAAAAGGGGAGAATAAAATTTTAGATATGAAGCTATATCTATATATTTGGGGTGAGCGAAACAATATTATGTCTATTGACAAGAAGTCCCAAATGAAACTAGGTATTATAAATATTAAGACTTATAGTCTATTTATAACTACTTTGGCATCAGTTATGCTTCAGCCTTTTCATTATACTCAGTTGCTTAGGGGTAAAAGAAGATAGTGTGGTGCAGGTAGAGGGGTAGAAATAGTGGGGGGCACGTCAGGTAGGTTAAGATGGATCTAAGAAGAGATCATGTAAGAATGTTTAATGCTTTTTGAGATATGCTTTTGTGGGGGAAAGGCAGAGGATGTTTATTAGCATGTGATGGTGGTGTCATATTACTGGTGATGGCATTTGTCCTTATACGGTCTGTCTTCAGCTCAGTGAAAGTTAATAATATTCAAAAAAGAATTGCCTTTATAATAAAGTCAAGTGCATTTTTCTTCTTAATTTTATAACTGCAGAGATTAGATTGCCCAGGTGCAGAGTCCTTGAGTCTTGGTACTACCATTGGAGCAGCCTCTGCCCTGCCCAGTTTTTGTGAGTCATGAACAAGTCCCCACTCAGGCCTGAGAGTGAAGCCCTCTTCCAGGAAGGGAGCTGCTCTGCTCATAGGTCCCTGTGGCTTTCTCCATTTGCTGTCTTCCTAATCTCCTTTTACCTGCTCTCCTCTTTCTGAACCTCTTCCATTATACACCTACTCTGATCTCACCCTGCTGCCCTCTCTTTTTCTTTCTCACCTTTCTTTCCCTGTTCTCTCTCTACTGATTTCTACCCATTCGCATCTCTCTTCCTCTGGAGAGAAAGTGTCCTCCCAGATAACGTGCCCAGAGGACCCTCAGAATCATCACAGAAGTACAAGCAATATTTGATCACTGCCAAGTTACTAAGAATTTTACATGACTTTATTATAAAGGCAATTCTTTTTTGAATATTGTTAACTTTCACTGAGCTGTTGTGGGGACTACCTTATACATGGCATAATTGAACAGTATTATCAATCAACAAATATTCCTGGAAGACATATATTGATACTGGGGTCAGGAGCCATGTGTTAGTTCTACTAGTTAGTCTTTAGAATGCTCCCTGCTCATAATCACTATAGAAAGTCTGTGTCACCTAACACTGTTTTAAACCATGCAATTGCCAGCAGTGCATTGTGGTCTTGGGACCTGTGAATATCCCTACTCCTGCCAACATGACCATTGTGCTAACTTGCTTGGGAGGAATTTTTTTTTTTTTTAAAGATTTATTTATGCATGCAAGGACTTGGGTACAGGCCAGAGGTGTGGGGCGTGAGAGGATTCACCAGAGACAGAGTGGGAAGCAGAACAGGCGGATTGACTAAAATACACTGTTGAGGGGAGTAGGGGACGAAACAGGAGAGGTCTGCTGTGCCATGTGGGTTAGCTCCTTGGCCGGGGATCAAACTCATGCCATGCTGCTGTGGCTGCGGATAGCTTCATAGTGCTGCGACTTAACCCCTTGCGCCACCAGGGAGGCCCCTCAACTAATTTTTAAATGAGAATTTTTTCTTAGTAACAGGAGAATTTTTTCTTAGCAACAAGTGAAAAACTTGAAAAATACACTTTCTACATCACGGTATATTTTTTTTAAAGATTTATTTTATTTACACAAGAACCGGGGTAGAGGCCAGATGCACGGGAGGGTAAGAGGATTCACCAGAGACAGAGCAGGGAACAGAACAGGCAGACTGACGAAATACACTGCTGAGGGGAGCAGTGGGCGAGACAGGAGAGGTCTGCTCTCCACGTGGGTTGCTCCAAGGCCGGCGGGGATCGAACCGGCACTACAGAGGCTGTGGACAGCTTCACAGTGCTGCGCTTAACCACCTGCGCCACCAGGGAGGCCCCATCACAGTATTTTCAGAGTGAAACCTCTTGTTTTTTTCAAGATGATATTTATTGTATGTCTGTATAGCAGTGGGTCATTTTTAAACAATATCTACTAGTGGCCAATTTATTGTTCCTTTCTTTAATTCCTCATTTATTTCCTGATGTTACATATATATATATATATATATATATATATAAAACTTAAAGTATCTAATGTGATTCTCTTTGTTTTTTTCATCTTTATGCATTTAAAGTTAGATCTGTTTAGAATGCTAACATCTGTTTAGAATGCTAATGCTGAAATAAAGAGTACTACTTTTTATCATGAATTCACATGGCAGAAGGTACTAAAGATGATGAAAATATAATAATAATAACTAAGCTATTTGGGGACAACTTGGACCCACAGTTGGTTAACACAAAACTTGGACCCACAGTTAACCAAAAGTCAGTTAACCAAAAGTCAGGTCCCACAGTTAACCAAAAGTCCCACAGTTAACCAAAAGTCAGTTGGCTTTTAAATTTAACAGACCTGCTTGAAATTGGGGGTTAAAGCTTTACTGAGATTTCAAAAGTTCTAGTTGATACAGACTAAAGTGAAACTTTACTTTAATGGTAGGACATTGAATTATTAATTGTTTTAGAACTACGGTCTTGAGTAAGCACATAGCAGTATATCTTAACAAAATATAGAAATCATCTAACACAATTGTATGAATCTTACTCATAAGATTATAAAATATTCCTACCTGCACATTGCCTAATAAGATTGTGAGTTTTGGTATGTCTATCAGTCTCTGAAAAATGCTTCTAAGCCACTAAAATCCTGTGGGGTTTATTTATATGGATGCTTGTGTGTGTTTGCACATTTAAGAAGTATGCAGTTATTCAAAATGTGGTTATCTATGGTTCTGTCTATTGATTGTTATTTGTGAATTCATCTTTTCCTTTAGGTAAAGAGGATGAATTTCCAAAGAAACCTTTGGGACAACTTCCACCTGAATATCAGTCTGCCGGTATTAGTCTCGTGAGCAATGGACAAAGAAGTGTTGGCAGGTCAAGTCCCCACACTAGCAGCAGAAGAGAAAGTGGCTCATCACCTCACAAAAAACATGAGCATTCACCTCACCATCACAGTCGAACTGGTACTCCAGAAAAAGTAAGGCAACCAAGACGGAAATCGGTGGAGGATGACAGTAAAAAGCTTAAAGATGAGGCAGACTTTCAAAGAAAACTTCCATCAGGTCCACAAACTAATTCCAGGCAATATGACCATGCAACTGCTAATCAAAATAGCAATGCTACTTCAAACATCAGGAAGGAATTTGTACCCAAATGGAATAAACCATCAGAAATTTCGGCTATTGAAAAAAGTGCCAAATATGCCATGGAAGGCAAAAGTAGATCAGCACACCCCACACTGACAGTCACCATACCAAGTTCTACTGATACTCAGCTATCAAATGGAAGGCAAAAGATGAAGGTTTTGAATGCTGATGAAGGGAAACGTGGATCTAATGCATCACAGTATGATAATGTACCTGAAAATGAAAATGGAGCTTCTGTTGAAGAGGCACTAGAAAGGGCTTATTCTCAAAGTCCAAGGAATATTATTTACTCTCACAGTCCAAGAAGGCATGCTGAGCCAAGTTCTAGTCCATCAAAAATACCAAATAAGTTTACTTTTAGAGTACAGCCTACAAATTATGCAAGATACCCATCTCAGTTAGAGGGGGAAGATCGAGGGACAGTGCACCCACCATCTTACAGTAATCCCCCTGTTTACCATGGAAATTCTCCAAAACGCGTCCCTACTACTAATAGCAACTTCGTGTCACCACAGTTTAGCCCTGGGACTCAGACGAATCCTTCCAGGAGACCTTATGGTTCTACTCTTTCAATTGATGTTTCTCCAGAGAAATTTTACAACCGCCCAACTCCTCTTGTACTACCATCCAGTCGAATGGAAGTTCTCCCTGTTGATATTGGTGCTGGGGGATATTTGGGCAATTCAGGGTCACCAAAGAATGGAAAATTTATTGTCCCTCCAGTGGATTATTTACCAGATAACAGGAAATGGTCAGAAGTTGGTTATACATACAGACCTGAGGTGCATGGACAATCGTGGACTCAAGATGCTAACCATAGCCACTTAAGCAATTTACCAAAATATTCAGCCTTTCAGCATGTGCCCTTTCAGGACCACAACCTCCCAGCGGTTTCTGTAGACAGTCCAGTGCGGTATAGAACTTCACCAGCTCTAGAAAATGCCAGTTCATCTGGGTATCAGTATCCAGGGCCAGCACCTCCAACATATCACTATAGAAATCGGGATGGACTTTCTATTCAAGAATCAGTATTGCTGTGAGAATTTACCTATACTGGCTAAAGACAAGAGAGTAGAAACCATATGAAACCTACATTGCTATGTTTGTAATTGCCAAAGCAGTATTTTATACTATTGTAAACAACTCGCACAATTCTAATGTATGTTAGTAATAAGAGTATATGGAAATGTTTTTATCCCATGTAGATGCTGCTTAAGATGAGCATTTTAAATTGCATCATCACTGAACCTGTTAGACATAGCAATAGCATTTAGGGATGCACACACAATAATAATTCATGGCTCAATTTCATTTATATCTTTCTCCAAAACCTGACCATTTTTTACCCTGTTAGCCCATTCTATTTTGAATAATGTTACAAAGCACTGAAAAACTGTGTAGAATGAGTATTTTTAAGGTTATATGTAGTGTATGTGTCTTTTAACAGATATTATAGGCGTCTGTGCATACACATTTGAACACAGAACTAAAGGAATATTTAAAAAGAACCTACTTTTAATCTAGATCTGTGGAATAATTTATTTTTCTCTTTCTTAACTTGTCTTTAGTCAGGTATTTTTCCTCTTAATATATTTAACCCAGATCCTAAACTAACAAGTGTTTGCCCTGACTCAATTCAACATCTCATAGAATGCTCATTATCCTCATTCAACTGCTGCATTCTTTAAATCTGAAAAATTAAAGACATTGGAGGGAAAGGTTAACCTCTTAATGGTGCTTAAAATTCTGGGCAGTTAAAGTAAGTTTATGGCCAGAAGTGCAGCGCTTACTGTATCCATGTACAGCAATCAGGTTTAGTGCCCTTTGTTCTGGTCTGACTCTTGTAAAACTCAGAGCAGAGCAGGATGTTCCTCGCCAGATGCGCAGGAAATGCTGCAGCTCTGCTCCCAGTGGGTTCTGCACAGAAGATGCACAGACTGATCTCCAAGCACTCACAAGGGGGGCAGCAGAACAAACCCCTTTGGAATTCATTTGAAAGCAAGATTAACAATTTGGTTACTTCTGCCCATTAAGTTCCTGTAAAGCCTCCCCATCAAGAGCTGGGTGGTCATTACATGATCTTTTTCTGGCACTTTAGAGAATGTAGTCAATGGTATTGCTGCACTTAGGCCTATAATTATCATGGTGTAAAATTGTAAACAATGATTTTAACTATTAATAGGAATCTAAGATTTGGGTCTTTTTAAAAATATGGTGATTTTCATACTTTCAAAAATTTTTTTTCAGTGAAACAATTTAGGTTCATGGTAAAAAATTAGCATTGTCTTTAAAAAATATTCTATTACACTACAATGATCAAAATACTGAATAAGTTCTGGGGACTCCAAGAAAGTATGAATTTGTTTTTAAATTGGATAGCTTGTTTCCAACATTACTTTGTTCACATTTGAATTTTAGAGAGTAGAAAGCCTAATACTGATGGCTCTTGTTTCAAGTTGGAGCTTTAAGCTTTCAAGGTACAGACGTTTGTCTTTTAAAATGAGAGTAACATTTGTTTAGCTAGTGAATGTGACAATATTTTTTATGTATATAATGAGTCTAATGTAATTTTAATCAACTCAGTAATGATGTTATTAAATGGCAAAGCAAATGCAGTGTATTAGCAGCTAAGCACTACACTGAAACTCAGACAAAATCCTGGTATCACTGGGCTCTTGATTCAGATCATGTGGAAGCTTAGAAATAAATGTATATAAAAATATAGCTGAGGATATTCCAATTTTTAAAACCATGATTCTGTGACTTGTAATAAACCAAGCTGTACAATTTAGTGTATGATAGCAGCATCTGCTCTGCTCCCAAATATATATCAACAGTGGTAAAAGCTGTAGATTTATCTATATATATGTGCAAAATATATATATATATACACACACTATTTTCTTATGTCATCTGACATTTTTTATCTGTATACTTTTTTTTGATGTGACCGTTTAACATGCTAAAAGTAATAAGTATGTTTTGTTTTGTGTCCTTTATGTGCCTTTTCATATGACAAAAGTGCTTCATCCTTCAAAAGCTAATTCTCTTCTAGTCAGTGTTGCCCAGTATTTGCCTACACGACTGTTATCACAGGTCTGTGTTTATGCTTCTTTTTTTTTTTAAAGATTTATTTATTTATACAGGCAACTGGAGTACAGGCCAGAGGCGTGGGAGGGTGAGAGAATTCATCAGAGACAGAGCAGGGAGCAGAACAGGTAGAAGGTCCAAAATACGCTGCTGAGGGGAGCAGTGGGCGAGACAGGAGAGGTCTGCGGCGCCATGTGGGAATCTCCCTGGCCGGCCGGGAATCGAACTCTGGCTGCAGAGGCTGCGGACAGCTTCACAGTGTTGTGCTCAACCCGCTGTGCCACCGGGGAGGCCCCTGTTTATGCTTCTTTAACTTCCAGTGGCATTTAGAATTATATTGCCTTCATTTTATTTAACATGTCATTATTATAACCAGTAAGATATTATTTCTAGTCTTCTCCATTGTAAAATGTAACTCCTGTGTTTTTTCTAGTAAGAAAGCTTAATTTAAAATTATTTTGTCCTTATAGTTTTATCTTTCAAGTTTATCTTTTAATAAAAGATAAATAATATTGATAAGGTGGGTTAAAATATCTTTATGGAAGATATTGTTTGGTAAAGATTTTCATGGTGGAGACTAATTTTACGAAACTGCATGCACATTGTATAAATATTTTACCATTACATCTTTATGACAGTTTTACCTAACGTAATAAGCACTTTGGTATAACTTGTATTTTTTCAGTATTTATTTTGAAAAGTTAAAGAAACTAGACCCAGAGTCTCAAAGCATTTTAAAACTTAGACTCTTTTGGGGTGTTTGTATTTTTTATAATATTACTAAAAACAGTTTTTTAAAGCTAGGATATATAAAAAATAAGATTATTGTAGGGGAGGGAAAAAATTATTTTTCCTCCATCCTTGTAGATTCTCCATCAGAAGCCCTGTCAATTAGACTGACAAAAGATGAGGAAAAACAAGTTTATTAACTCATGTTTCATGTACACACACGTGAGTGAGTACCCAGTGATGTGTAACTCAAGGGGGTACCTAGAACTTAGGATCTATATATGTTACTTATCGGGTGTAGGAGAGAGAGGGCACTTAGGAAAAAGGAAATGATTTTTTGAAAAATAAATGGATCCCGAGGGTGATAGATGGGAGACATGATAGTTTGTCACAAGGTCTGGGTGTGGTGCCAGGGAAGATTAGAGTTGCTTGGGGATAGGATTTATGACAATTAAATTCTTTGGGGAGCCTGTGTTTTTGGGTAGATAAAGTATTTCAGGAACTCAGTTGCCTTCAGTTCAGTCATTCTTATGCCCAAATGACTTATTTTGGGGTGGCATGTCCTGGTCCCCTTCAGCATCAATGATAGGTTTTTTGAAAGAAGGAAGAGAGTCATTACACAGGACTTCAATGGAGAAGAAAAAAGAAGTTTACAGATGTAATGTGTTTGTTTTAGGTCTTTCCATTTTCATTTTAAGAAGATTCTAATACTGAAGTGTATCATACTCCATGTAACTTTAAAATTGAGTTTCATATTTGTAGTCATTTCAGGCCTCTCCAGGACCTATCATGATGCATGCACAAAAACTGTACCTAGTCAGTACTTTGCTGAGATCGCTTTTCATTTTCATGACTAGAGATTATGTGATGTCCCCAAATAGGAATTTATTCACAGAGAACCTGCAGCTTAATGTTTTGGAAATAATATTACTCTCAATTATCTTTTGAAATTACCCATATTTTAGTATGCTCTTGATTGTGGGTTAATTAAGATTATGATTTTGGGATTTGGTTTCTTGTTTTAATTGTCTTTTAATGGATTTTAAGTGTCCATTTCTATTATAGATATAAATGCTTATTGACCAGATGGTTTTCATAACTCAAACTTTACTGATGATGACCCAAGGTATTGAGAATGAGAAGAATTCCATTTAACATTTACTAATTAATTGTTTTTCATAAGGCTATTTAGTCATCCAAAATCTAAGCACAATTTCTAACAACACTGAGAAATAAAGGAGCAAAGTTTAGATTTCATAGGAGTGGATCTTAATGCTTGCTCCTTTTGAAAATTATATGGGGAACTTTAAAAATATTTTCTACCTAGATCCTAGCTTAGACTATTTAAATCAGAGCCTCTGGGATGGAACCCCGGGCATCAAGTAATTGTATTTGTCCTATCCAGTCAACTAAGTTCTTTAAAGAAAAAATTCCTCTAAAGTTGATTGTTTTGTATTTCTGCTATGAGCTGTCTCAAAAACTCTAAACAGATCAGTTTTCAGAAAACTCTAATTTCAGGTAAGTTAGGAAAAATTCCATTGGAAAGATTAATATTACCAGCCATCTGTAACTTTTGATGAACTACTGATAGTTGTGGAAAGTATAAAGGGCTTCAAGTGGAAGGTGGCTTCATTCAGTACTTAGTCTTATTACTACTTACAGGAGTCCTTCAAAATAGGTATGACTTAAGATTTCCATTTTTCTAAAGAACCTCTGTCACTCTCCTCAGGTGTGCTAAAAAGCAAAACAAAACACAAAAACCTAAGCTGTTTGGGAGCCTAGCCACATTTTCTCTGTGTGAGAGCTGAGAAGATGCTGCAGCATCTGGGCATTCATTAGGCCAGCCATTTTATTTGGTCATCATTTTATTGAGCACCTGCAGTGTACTAGTGTCCTAGGAATTGTGCTAAACTCATGCTCGAGATAGAAAATGTTTTATCATCTCTGTGTCTCAGTTCAGTGTGAGAGACATGTATACACCTCCCATGAGATCAGGGCATAGAAAGGCCACAGCTCACAAAGATCAAGGACTGAGCCTAAGACAATTAGAGTAGACAGATAGCGAAAGGGGTGGGGGGCGTTGCATTTATAGAGGGAATGGCATGAGCAACTACATGGTGTGGGGGGGAAGTTTGCCACTTTGAGTTGTAAGTAATGTTGGGAAGGAGATTCCGCCGAGAGACCTAACTATAGAGAGGGCTTGTGTGCCATTGAACAAGACCCTATGGGGTTTGCCATGATTTTATTCATATTTCCTGTGGAGGTCAGATATAAGGCAACAAGCCTGAGGGAAGTTAGGAAAACTGGCAAGTTTTGTAAAAGGTGGCACAGCTCCTAAGATGAGGGAAGACGATATGAAGAAAAGTTACGTAAGAAAAGAAGTTGTGAAGAAAAAGAAAAGGTGATTGGAAAACTAGTGACCACATAAAATTGGTAAAACTTGATAAATGGACATAATCATAAGAAAAATAGCTAACTTTATTGGGTGCTGATCATGTGCTGTGCTAAGCATTTTTACTTCTATTAACTCATTTAATTCTCACAGAAACTCTGAAGTATGTACTACTATAGTTCCCACTTTATAGAGGAGAAAATGAAGTCACAAGAATGTTGAAGTTACTTGGTCCAAGTGATATAGCCAATAGGATATAGCCAGGGCTTGAATCCAAGCAGTCTGAATCTAGAGGCACTGCTTCCCTCCCTCTTCCCCATCAATTTGAAGGAGTCATAGCTTATAATAATTCACCCATTTAAGTGTACATCTCAATGATTCTTCAATGAACTTGTAGAGTTGTGTGACCATTGCCAGCAGGCCAATTTTAGAACATTTCCACCACTTCAAAAAGATCTCAAGTGTCCATTTATTGTTATCTCCATCTATTACTACTACCAGGCTCACACTGGGTTACTAATCTACTTTTCTAGATATTATATAAGCGGAATCATGATTGTGTTTTGTCACAACTGACTGTTCTCATACTTAGCATAATATTTTTGAGGTTCATGGTGTAGTATGTATTAGTTACTTTCCTTTTTATTGCTGCATAGTATTCTACAGTGTGGCCCTTTTAATTTTTTATTTAGTCACTTAGCAGCTGGTAGTCATTTGGATTGATTTCATGTACTGCTCAAGTCCATATGGGTACAAGTCTTTGGACATATTTTCATTGTCCTTGGGTAGATTTATATATATATATATATATATGTGTATATATATATATATATATATATATATATATATATGAGTGCTACTGATGCCTTTTATGGTATATTTATGTTTAACTTTTTAAGAAACTACCAGACTGTTTACCAAGTATCTGTACCTCGGTCCCACCAGCAATATGTGAGTGTTCTGATTTCTCCATATCCTTTCCAACACTTATAATTTTGTATTTTTTTGATGGTAGCCATTCTAGTGACTGTAAAGTGATAACTCATTTTGGGCTTGATTTGCATTTCTCTTAATAGCTAGTGATAGTAGCATCTTTTATGTGCATTGGTATATTTTCTTTAGTGAAATGTCTATTAGAAGTTTTTGCTCACTTTTTAATTGGGTTTTATTATTGAATAATAAGAGTTTTTTTAATCATATACTCTGAATGTAAGTCCTTTGTAAGACATATAGTTTGCAAATACTTTCTCCCAGTCTGGTTTGTCTTATCAATGTCTTCATGGTGTCTTTTGAAGTGCAAATGTTTTTAATTTTAATGAAGTCCAACTTAACTAGTTTTTTTCTTTATGGATCAGGCCTTTAGTATTGTATTTACTGCCTAGTCCAAGGTCATAAATAATTTTCTTCTGTGTTTTATTCTAGAAGTTTTATAGTTTTAACTCTCCCATTTGAGTCTATGGGTCAGTTTGAATTAATTTCTTGTAAAAGGTGTGAGGTAGGGATCTAAATTCATGTGACTATTCAGTGGTCTCAATACCATATGTTAAAGAATGAGCTCTCCTACTAAATTGCCTTGGAACCTTTGTTAAAAATCAACTGACCTGTTCTGCTCTCCGCTCTGGCTCTGGTGAATTCTCTCACCCTCCTGACTTCTGACTGTACCCAGTGCTTAAATAAATAAATAAATCTTTAAAAAAAAAAAAAATCAACTGACCAACATAATGGAATTTAAGTTTTGAAAGCAAAAATATACATTCTCCAGCTTTGTTCTTTTCCCAGTTATTTTGGCTGTTCTGCGTCCTTTGCATTTCTATATAAATTTTAGGATCAGCTTGTCAGTTTCTAGGAAAAAAACCTGGGATTTTATGGGTACTGTTTTGAATCTATAGGTCAGTTAGAGAAGACTGCCATCTTAATAATAGGAAGTCTTCTGATATATAAACACAGAATGTTTATTTCGAACTTTAATTTCTCTCCACAATTTTTTGTAGTTTTAGTTTATGTCTTGCATTTCTTTTGTTAAAATCAACCTAAGTGTTTTTTTGATGCTCCTGTGAATGGAATTGTTTTCTTCAGATCCTTTGTACATAAATATCTTGCTGTATCATTGGGACAAAGGTCAAGATTGATTTCTACAATTCCTAGACTGGGTAGTAGAGTGGATTGTGGGATCACCATACAATAAAAAGAATTCAGAAGAGTAGGTTTAAGTTTAGTGAGAAAATGACTTATTTTGTGTGTAGAATTTGAGGAATAGGAAATTGACAGTTGGTATTTTCTGACAGGCAGTTGGCAATTTCAGAGAGATTTGAAAGTAGCCAGCATGTAGGAGGTAAAGTCATGAAGAGTACTTGCTTGGGGAGAAGATGAGCAAACTAAGATGGTGAGAGCCTGTGGGATCACTGGCCTGCAGAGATAGCACAGGGGAGGAACACATGAAAGACTCAGATGAAACAGTCATGGGCTAGCCAAATGTTCATGTTTGAAGACAGCTTTGGAGTCAGACAGACTGGAGTTTGAACTTGGCATCCATAGGCCAGCTGCTGTTCTTGGTCCTAGAGGAATCATGCTGTGACAAGATAACAAAATCCCTATCATGGAACTTACGTTCTGCTTCATTTTCTCCTCTACAAAATGAAGATTGTAGTATTATTTCATGGAATTGTAAGGATTAAATGAGTTAATTTGTGTGAATTGTTCCGCATAGAATCATCACACAGTAATAATTTAAAATGTTATCCATAATCACATGCCACCACAAGGCTGGATCTTAGTGACCTTGAGGGTCATGGACCTAGACTCATGGAGCTGGGAGTCTAGGAAGAGCACAAAGGTAAGCAATGGGTGCATGGGGGAAAGCACAAGAGCGACATAAGGAAACACTGGCAAAAAGGAAATGATCAGCAGCTTAAAATGCAGCAAAAAGGCATAGTGACTGGGACTGGAAAGTAATTTGGACTCAGCAATTAGGAACTCGAGGCTAGCATCTGCTGTCATTCCTAGAGCCACAATCAGATTGCACTGGTCACTGGCACCAGTGGGAGCTGATGCAGTACTCTCCAGAGCTTTGAGAAGAGGTGGTAAAAGTAGAGATTGGGCAAGGATGTATTTACATGGAAAAAATAATGCTAATTAGAGATTAGTTTGAAATATTCAAAACATTCCCAAGTACTGCAAGTCAGCACTTGGTTTTACTCCAGTTTGTTACTTTATGTAGTCTTGAAAATTGAAACACCAGTTATTAAACTTGCTGTGATTCAAAATTTTCACTTTAATTTGGAAAAAAATCAGTGCAATCTGCATGTAGAGCAGGTGGCATGAAAAAAGCTATTAAGTGGCTGCCCATGAAAACCATTGATTTTGTAAGGCACTTATTTAAATTTTGTTGCCATTTGCACACTAAGGGGTGTGATTTAGAAGTAGCATATGTGCAAAAGATGGGAGAGGTTAACTTCTGTTTAAGTGAAATAATGAATTGGCAATGAACTGCAACTCCTCAAATGCTGAGTCAGTTTTGAATGAATTAAGCTTGTCACAAGTTCGTAGTGTGACTGGGTGGGTCACTGAATCTCCTGAGACTTGGTTTCCTCTTTTGTAAACTCTGGAGGTGGAAGGTGAGTGGGGAGCATTTGGAAAGGGTTCTGCCCAAACTCTGAGGGAAGGTGCCTGTTTGTTTTGTGCTGGGTACTATCAAGTGCTAGGGGAAAAATGGTGAGCGGAGCAGACGTCCCTGCTCAAGGAGCATATTGTCTTGTGACTGATAGGAATTGCGTGCTATCAACATAAATGAAAACACATCTGTGGCAAGGACCAGGAAGGAGGAAAACCCAGTGAATTGACTACCTATAATAATGACAAGTATGAAGATGACACTCATGAGAAAAGATGTGACTTGAATTGGACATGCAGAGGAAGTAGCCACAATCCTGGGCAGAGTAGCAAATATTGACACAAAGAGCTCAAGTTGCTAACATGAAGATGGTTTTAAGTTATTGAACCGTGTCTGTACTCATGAATAATAGCATTAGCAGAGTTGTCATTGAAAGGACAATGATGGCCTATACATTTGCAGTTTGGTCGACTGTCAAATCTGCACCATGGTTTGCCATTCATCACAGTGTGACCTTAGGCAACTCACCTTGCCCCTCTGGACCCCACTTTTTTCAGCTAGAAAATGTGAAAATTTGAGTTAGCTTGTGAATTAGTAGAAATGATCCCTGCAGTGGACCACAACTGTGGCTGCAGATAGACAAGCTGCCAAAAGTGCTGATGTGGAGGCCCACCACAGACTGATTAAGTCAGAATGTGCCAGGGCGTGGCACAGGAATTAGGGTTTCTTTTAAAGTCAAACACATGTAACCCAATAGTTCATTATTCTTTAATCAATCCCTTAGAACCTAACCATGTAATGCAATTGTATAAGAATATAGTACAAGAAATCAGCCTTGGACTAGAAACCTTTAAAACAAACATGGAGATGAGTCTCAGCTTTCCCATTAACCTTGCTGGACCTCAATCTCATTGACAAAATAAAGAAAATGAGGCAATCCTGCAAGGTTGTTCTGAAGATGATTTGAAATAATGTGCATGTAATACAGTGCCTGGAACACAGATGCTCAGTAAATGTTAGATGACCAATATAAATGTTTGCATAGGGAAAGGGCTAATATTCCTATTAAAAGCACTCTCTCTCTTTAAGACTTGTAAAGTATCCCCAAATGGAATATGGGCAAAAAATATTAAGAGAAGGTGAATGGATAAAATTGTACAAAGTCACTAAACATTGTATATCCCCATTAATTAGAGAAGTTGAAACCAGAACGATGCTCAGGAAACATCTTTGGAAAAAGAATATTCATGACCTTCTAGTGAAAGCAAAATTGCATTCCAAAAATGTATTATCATTTATATTTGTATTTTTTTGGTCGAGCAATACATCTTCTAGCAGAAATACAAGTGGAAAAAGATACATGTGAAAAGGATGTCTGTTGCTGTTATTTGTTAATGGAGGAAATCTGGGGGGGAAACCTCAACATCCATCAATGGAAAATAGGTTAAATTATGGTATAGTTTTATGGAATAATACTGTTTGCACTTTAAACACTGGGTGTCTATAATTTATAGGTAAATGAAAAAAACTACAAAGTAGTATTCACAAATCCCTGAGTTGGCTTTGCAACTTCTGCCTTTGTCTCCGACCAGCTTTGAAGCAAGACTCCTCATTACTTTGTTGAAGGTCATGGGGGTGGAGGGTAGGGGACAGGAATGGGAATGGTGGTTGCTAACCATAGGTTTGAGAACCATGGGCTGTCAAGGAGAACTGTGGGAGTTCTGTTTGCATGAAGTCTTTGATGCTTTTCTGCCAGTGAAGAAAACTGATGGGCAGGCACCTGGGATATAAGAATTAGCTATGTTGAAATAAGACACTGTAAGGGGGGGGGCAAAGACCCCCTGGATTGTGGCTGGGAGTGGGGAGCATCTCCCAGGTAGGTAGGAAAAGGAGGTGGACATAGGAGCAGAACATAGATCCTCCTCTTGGGTCACCATTTAAGCTTAAACCAAGAATCAGCATGGAACTCAGGAAATGTCCTCGGTGGGAGGCTGTCAACTACAGTTCCCTTTCCTTCATTAGTTTTGTTCCCTTTCTTCCCTTTCAGTTGGGAGAAGAAAGCGGGACCCCCCAAAAAAATCAGAGTGGTCCCTGGAGGCAGCCCTGAACACAAGGGACACGGGGAACCTGGAACACAAGGGGGAACCAAACCCTGATTGCTTAAGGCCGGGGT